GCAGCTGCAAATACAGATTATCCTTAGCAGAGAGGTCTGACTGCACAGAGGCCATAATAAATCAATTGCTTGCAGACTCACTTCAAAACCCTATCAGTAGGGACTTCCCTGGTGGCGCAGTGGTTAAGAATCCGCCTGCCACAGGGATATTAGCTCGGTGCTTTGTGACAGCCTGGAGGGGTGGGATAGGGAGAGTGGGAGGGAGGGAGACGCAAGAGGGAAGAGATATGGGAACATATGTATATGTATAACTGATTCACTTTGTTATAGAGCAGAAACTAACACACCATTGTAAAGCAATTATACCCCAATAAAGATGTTTAAAAAAAAAAAAAAATGCAGGGGACACGGGTTCGAGCCCTGGTCTGGGAAGATCCCACATGCCTCACAGCAACTAAGCCTGTGCGCCACAACTACTGAGTCTGCGCTCTAGAGCCCGTGAGCCACAACTACTGAAGCCCGCATGCCACAGCTACTGAGCCTGCACTCTGGAGCCTGCAAGCCACAACTACTGAAACCCACACACTGCAACGAAGGGTAGACCCCGCTCGCCGCAACTAGAGAAAGCCCGTGTGCAGCAACGAAGACCCAACGCAGCCAAAAATAAATAAAATAAATAAATTTTAAAAAACAAAAAAAACCCTATCAGTGAGTAGCAAGTGAAAACAAGCTCAGGGCTCCCACTGATTCTGCATTATGGTGAGTTGTATAATTATTTCATTATATATTACAATGTAATAATAATAGAAATATAGTGCACAATAAACGTAACGTGCTTGAATCATCCCAAAACCATCTCCCCACCCCGCCACCCCAGTCCGTGGAAAAACTGTCTTCCGGGCTTCCCTGATGGCGCAGTGGTTAAGAGTCCGCCTTCCAATTCAGGGGACACGGGTTCGTGCCCCGGTCCGGGAAGATCCCACATGCCGCAGAGCGGCTGGGCCTGTGAACCATGGCCGCTGAGCCTGCGCGTCCGGAGCCTGTGCCCCGCAATGGGAGAGGCCACAACAGTGAGAGGCCTGCGTACCACAAAAAAAAAAAAAAAAGAAAAGAAAAACTGTCTTCCACAAAACCGGTGCCTGGTGCCAAAAAGCTTGGGGACCGCTGAACTAAGAGTTGGGAAGCCCGAGTGTGCATCACTGTTGTGGCCTAGGCAGTGGTCCCCGTGGCACTAGAAAATGACCCATCAGATGGTGTAGGAACAATGTTTCCCTAGTTCCACCAGTGAACAAGAACAGAAGCAAGTAACAGCACTCAGAGCGGGGTCGGGTGGGGAGTGCTGGGCTTCCTGCACATAGGGGCAGGGGGTACTCAAATTACTAAGTGGAAAAACATGTGATATGTCTACCCTGAAATCAGAGCCTATGTTTAGTTTAAAGTTACACAGTTTATAAAGCCGTGTTTGTATGTCCTCAAGGAACAAACACAAATTTCTCTAGCCCCGTGCCAAATATGGGCTCCAAACACTCATATAGCGGGGACAGTGGAGTTATCCTCGAGCCGACCTAAGTCTGAGCCACACTGGCACAGGAGAAAGGAAGGGGGTGAAATTATTCTTGTGTTTAGAACACTTTAACAAGACTTTTCGGCTATGAAATGCAAGGTCCGTCCCCCTCACCCACAGCCCCTGGGGTATAACCTAGTGAGAGAAGCTTTTTTTTTTTTTTTTGCGGTACACGGGCCTCTCACTGTTGTGGCCTCTCCCGTTGCGGAGCACAGGCTCCAGACGCGCTCAGCGGCCACGGCTCACGGGCCTAGCCGCTCCACGGCATGTGGGATCTTCCCAGACCGGGGCACGAACCTGTGTCCCCTGTATCGGCAGGCGGACTCTCAACCACTGCACCACCAGGGAAGCCCAACCTAGTGAGAGAAGCTTTGATCAAGAAGTTGAATCTGGGACTTCCCTGGTGGTACAGTGGTTAAGACTCCATGCTTCCACTGTAGGGGGCACAGGTTCAATCCCTGGTTGGGGAACTAAGATCCTGCATACTGCAGGGCACGGCCAGAAAAAAAAAAAAAAAAAAGCTATTAAATTATTCTGCAAAGAGAGGTCATGGGAATGTGGGATGAAAAACAGGGCCCTGGAAGTATAGAAGAAGAGAGTCTAGCTTTGGGGTGTACACTGGGCTTCCCTACTGCAAAGGGCCCAGCAAAACCCCGCCCCTGGTCCTTCCTGTGGTAAACAGAAGAACAAAATGGTAATTGTATAGACCAATAAACATTTTAAAATAAGAGGCTTAATTCTCCCTGTTGAAAATAAGAGACTTCTCCCACCACCCCTTTCTTAGAGCACTAACTTTAGAAAACTTGTAAGCTCTTTCTCTGCCTCTTTGAAATGTCTGTAAGTCTTTTTAGAAGCTAAATCAGCCTCGTGCAGCTTTAGGATCCAGGGATGTCTCTCCCAAGGCCCTAGGAGCCATCTCTTCAAAATGGAAATATTAGGAGAGAGAGCACCCCTATCTCCCAGTTCCTATGGGAGGGTAGGATCCTAACTGAGGTGGGCTCCTTGCTCCAAGTTGCAAAACTACCTCCTGTCATAAAGATACTTTGTTTTTCCTGCAATTAAGCCTATTAATAACACAAAGGATCACCAATTACCGTAAAGTTAGGATGAACCTGTGTGACAAATGGTGCTCTCAAGCCTCTTACTTGAGGACTAGTTACTGTTTATCTTGAGAACATGCGTGTAATGGCTGTATCTGTTTGGCTCTATAACAGGGCGGGATACTTTATCTCTACAATCTCTTAGCAGATGGCCTGTGACGCACATCACATTCTGGTAATGCTTATTCAAATATAAAACTGTTTTCTTTCCTCCACTACCTTTGTGGAGAGGTTTTCCTGGGTTGGGAAATTTTGTTTTTAATTATATTCCCCAACATAATGCATGTGCTTAAAAAGGAAAAAAAAAAGTGGGAAGGTCTTGAGATGTAAGACCCCTAAATGGGACGGACATGGAAAACCAGTGGGGAGAGACAGAGGAATTTCTAAGCGTGACGCTGACATTCAACTGAAAATTGTTTCCAAAATGTAAATAATAGCATAATAGCAGCATATACATACAGAGACTACTGTCAGGCATCGTTCTAAGTGTTTTACACATTAACTTAATTAGCTATGTAGTAGTTTGGATTACTGCTCTTAATTATTCACGCCCCACCCTGCCTCTGAGAACTCTCCAGTGGGCAGAAAAGGTATCACGGAACAGCAGACAAGCAGGCTGAAGTTTGGACTGGTTTTGGAAGTAGGTATGATGCAAACTCTCTTTTCTAGCTAAAAGTGACCCTTGAAGGGCGTGTGTGGAAAGGCCAGATTCAGCTACTCCGTAAGATGGGAATGTGAGCCACTCTATTTGGATATTACAGGATACCCCAAACTGGAGGACACTGGGGGCCAGCATATGGCAGACACCAGCCCTGAGCACTGAGGATGTAGTAAGCAGGAGTGGGCCCAGAAGATAAGAAGGGGAAGGGCACTCAGTAAGGATCAGACACTTCCGTAAGGTTTGCAGGCTGGGAGGCAGGACTGGAATCCCTCATTCCCACCAATGACCAACATGTCAAGTCATTTTTGAGGGTCTGGCTCAAGAAAGCAGAATTTACCTTGCCCTGGCCTAGCCCAGCTGCCAAACACATCCACTGTGAGCCAGATGCTTAGAATGACTTGGGTCAAGAAGACCTGGAGAGGGACCTGCAAGAGGCTTCCTGGGTGGGTGGTAAAGCCTGAGCCCTGAATCATCCTTCTGACATTTACAAAGTCCTTAACCAGCACTGGCCCCACCGCTGCTCCCTGGTTTCCTGCCCTGAGTGCCACAAAGGACCAGGAAATAGTGGAGGGGGGGGAGGAGGGGCAGTGAGCAGTACAAAGACAAGAGGGAAGACGAAAGAAGTAGAACTTCATGACTAATAAAATCTTTACACCTAATTTTTTAGAAGGAAATTGAATTCTGGTGGGGAAAGCAGGCACCACGGTCAGTGAGGCCGGAATAAAAATTTACCTGGAACCTACAGAAGGGAAAGAGGCTGCATTCATTTGGAAGGGACAAAGTCCATGGTAACTGCCCACAGATGCTGGGTCCCCTAAGTGACTCCATACTGCAGCCTAACACCTGGTCCCTAACATTCTCATCAGCCACTATGAAGGTTGGACAAAAGGAGGCTTTCACTGCCCTGCCTCAGTTGGGCCTCCCTCAGTATCTGGTGTGCCCAGGGTCCTAATCCAGCCATGTTTGATATGAGGCTGGGGGTGGAGGTGAGGGGGCAAGTCTTTCAGCTGTTACTTTTCCAGGTTTTAGGCAGCCTGGGGCACCTCTGGTCATTTAATGAAGGACTGGGCTCAAATGAGGTATAAATCAGGAACTGAAGACTTACTGGGCTGCACTGGGTCCAGAGCAGGACATTCCACATGGGCCCAGCACAGCCTAGCAGGCCGGCCTTCCAGGGCTCAGCCCATGGTCTTTCCCGGGTCCCAGCCCAGAAAAGCTGAGGCTTTCTCCTGCGTTTGGAAGACTGACTCACCCCCTCTTCCTCCTAGCTCTCCTAAAGGCCGGGAGACCTCAGGAAGTGTCCTCATCCTGCTGCCTTCAACCCCGAGGCGCCTGGCCCCAGGCCTCCCCCGGAGGTTCAGAGAAACCCCGGGCGCCTCCATGCTCTCGGCCTCACCCAGGCGGAGGCCCCTTCATCGCCCCACAGCTCCACTCGGCCCGGGAGGGACGGCCCTTCCCCGCAACCGGCTCAGCGGCTCGCAGGTTCGGGCTAGTCTGGGGCGGGGACTGGGAGCATCTGAAAGTGGTGAGGAGGGCGGGGACGCGGGCCCCTCTTTAAAGGCCCGGGACCTGAGGCGCCTCGATACCGGCCGGCGACCCCGAGAAGCGCGCCCCATCCGGCTCCCTTCGCCTAAGCCGCCGGGGCTGCCATGGGCCGCTACCGCATCCGCGTAGCCACCGGGGCCGCACTCTTCGCCGGGTCGCACGACCGCGTGCAGCTGTGGCTGGTCGGGGCGCGCGGGGAGACGGAGCTGGAGCTGCAGCTGTTGCCGGCGCGGGGCCAGGTCAGCGGGCGGAGCGGGGACAGACCCCGGCCGGGACGCGGGAGGCCGGCGAGGGGCGGGATCCGAGGGCGAAACGACTGCGGAACCGTGCCTGCTGGGACTTCCAGGTGTTGGGACGCCCGGGCGGCTGGGCCAGGAGAGGATCGGGAGCCAGGACCCGGGCTGAGCGCATACCCCTTCTCCCTTCCCGCCGGCCCTGGTCCTCGCAGCCTCCAGCTCCTTCTCCAAATGACCCCAGGCCAGTGTCAATATAGGATCAGAAGTCAAATGGGACGCTCCTAGGAATGAGGGAGCGGGGAGAGCTCAGTCAAAGGACCGATGAAGGTGCTGATACTCAGACATCAATTCAAGACACTGCGGGCCACGCGCCACGCTCCCTCTTCCTCCCGGTGCGATGGGGCGTCAGACACACCGCGCAGATGTCCGGAGGAGGGAACGAGGGAGGCTGTCTTTGGAGGCCTTGTCAACGGAGCCTCCACAAAGGTCCCCTCCTCTCCTGTCCCTACCGCACCTCTGACCCCCCAACCCCACCCCCGGCAGGCAAAACGGCCTCTCCTGGGACCCTGCTACTAAGTCTCCGGGTTCTGGTCCCACAGGAGGAGGAGTTTGAGCATGACATTCCCGAGGACTTGGGACCACTGCAGTTCGTGAAGCTGCGCAAACACCACTCCCTGGTGGACAACGCATGGTTCTGCGACCACATCACGGTGCAGGGCCCTGTAGCCTTCCAGGAGGCCACCTTCCCGTGCTACCGCTGGGTGCAGGCCGACAGCGTGCTGTGCCTGCCCGAGGGCACCGGTGAGGGGCAGTGTCGGGAGAGGGGATGCAGGGCCTGGGGAACTGCTGGGGAAGGGGTGGGGGAGGGCTGCGGAGGGTCAGAGGGCCTTGATGAAAGTGAGTGTTCAGCAGGTTAAGTGTGGAGAAGACAGGACATTGGAAAAAAGTTATAAAGTACCAAATTTATACACAGAATAAAAAAGGCTGCAAGTGGGGCTGGACAGGGACATAAGTGATGTGCAGATCCCATCCTCCAAGAAGATGAGGACACGGGATGGGAGCTGCCGCAATGATGGGAAACAGGAACAAGTTAGGGCAGGGACAAGTTAGGGCAGGGCAGGTAAGGGTAGCACATGGAGTAGGGGATGGGGGTGACCCCTAAGAGGAGGCAGCTAAGGGAAACAATAAGCAATATGACTTGGAGAGCTGATTTGGTTGGGAAAACATGGAAGAAAACCACGAGGGAGAGGGTGCACACTGACAGGTGGGTGGGAATGAACGAGGACAGCAAATACATAATTTGTTACCATGGGAAATAAGAAAGATGATTACAGAGGCAAATGAGGGCAAGGGCAATTAAGGATGGAAACACGAAATACATCACTTTGAGACAGGTGAGTGTAAATGCGGATAAGAACAGGAACAAGTTGATAATATAGACTCTGATGGTAAATCTCAGAAGAGTGAAGTCAGGGAAAGAAAGCAAACAGCTGTTCCTAAAGCCTTTTGAGGACAGTTGAGGTGTGGTAGGTGAGGGTCAGGAGATGAGAAATTAACCAAAGCAATATATAGTAGAAAATAGGTATGGGCATATGAGTGATTGAGATTTTATCACCTTTTTTTTTTTGGCCACGCCGCATGGCTCGTGGGATCTTAGTTCCCTGACCAGGGATTGAACCTGTGTCCCCCCCGCCCCCCACCCCGGCACAGTGGAAGCACAGAGTCTTAACCACTGGACCACCAGGGAATTCCCAAGATTTTATCACCTTACTTAAGGTGATTTTTTCCAACCATAGATACTGATGAAATAGCATCAGGTGGGGAAAGACGAGTTAAGGGACAAGAAAGGGTGTCAAACATGAGATTGTTGTCTCAAGACAAGAGACGAGGGTTGAGATTAGCAAAACCCAGAGTGCAAAGTTGGCAATGATAAGATAAATGTGTCTCAGGAATCAATGGAGTGAGGCAAGGCCAGAGATAAAAGCAACAGAGCTTGACTGAACACATGGCCTATGATGGCGGAAAGGAAGATGAGGACGAGCAGAGGAGAGCACAGGACCACACAAACCGTGGCCAATTGTCTTAATGTCTCCCCAGCCCGCCTGGCAGGAAACAACGCATTGGACGTGTTCCAGAAACATCGAGAGAAGGAACTGAAAGAAAGACGTCAGATATACTGGTGACCACCCACCTACAGGGCCTCTCAGTGGTAGCCCCCGTCACTGACCTGGACACCCTCCCTGAAGCCTTGTCCCCATCTCCTAGCTGGGCCACATGGAAGGAAGGGTTACCCCTGACAATAGCTGCGGGCTGTGAGGAGGATCTACCTGCCAATATGAGATTCCATGAGGAAAAGAGGCTGGACTTTGAGTGGACACTGAAGGCAGGGTGAGAACAGGCCTGGAGCTCAGAGTGGCGAAAGGGCTGGGAGATCCAAAAACGGTGGTCAATGGTGAGCGGCTGAGGGACTGGCAAATGGGTTCATGGCTCGATTCCTGTCCTAGGGCTCTGGAGATGGTCCTCAAACATGCTTACACCCTCCTGAGCTCCTGGAACCGCTTTGAGGATTTTGATCACATCTTCTGGGGCCAGAAGAATACCCTGGCTGGTCAGTGGTTCCCAGGTCTCTATAACCCCTTGATGGCCCCTTTTGATGACCCGACCTTCACACTCCACAGCCCCTCACGAGACCTCCCAGATGAGAATATATTGTGCTGGGTCATTTCTCAGAGGCCCCAGATGAAAAGGCAGGGGCTGGATATGGGATGGTCATGTGCCTGGATCACTGGGGTAGGGCCTGGAGGAGGGACATCCCGGCTGTGTAAACATCCTCCTCCTACACTCCACCCCGACCCCACAGAGAAGGTTCGCCAGCGTTGGCAGGACGATGAATTGTTTGGCTACCAGTTCCTCAATGGCACCAATCCCATGCTGTTGAGACGCTGCACCTCTCTGCCCTCCCGGCTAGTGCTGCCCTCGGGGATGGAGGAGCTACGGACCCAGCTGGAGAAAGAACTCCAGGTACCCCTCCCACCCTGTGTTGTTCTCTCCTTGGCAGTGTGGCCAGAAGTAGTGAAGGGCAGGGACCAAAGATGAGTCAAGGAAGGGAGGCTGTGGTAACCTACAGACCCTTGGTCCAGACTCCAGTGCTAGAAAAACCTAGAGGTGATAAAGTATGTAGGGAAAATTATGAGAGGCTCCCGGTGTAGAGGGGAAACAGGGTAGATTCCCAGGGTGCAGATGGGGCCAGAGGTGTCAGCAGGGACAATGACATTCCCTGGCTGACGTCAGTGCTCTGGACAGCAGTGTTCATGGGCAGGGAGAAGGGTAGAAAATGTGCCATCAGATGGGGAGAACTGCGGGGGTTACTTGGGTTTGGAAGAGGTGAGCTACATGTGAGGAGGACGAGCGAGGCAGGATGTGAGCATGCCGTGTGCATGTGTGCACGTGTGCACGTGTGCGCTGGACTCTGCGGCAGGGCTGGGCAGGGGAGCCTCTGTGGATTACTTGGCAGAGAAGGTGAGTTTTAGGGAGTGAAAGAGCATTTGCTGAGCTGGTGACAGCTAAACACAGGTGTTCAGATCATCGAGGGATAGTGGGGAAGAGACCTGGCCATCTCGACAAGGGGACAGCTTGCACACGGGACTGAGCAGGCCTGGTTCTAAAATCAGATCTGCCACCACACATCCCTGGGCAAGATGTCTACCCTCACTAGGCTGTTTCTTCACTTAAGATGAGAGGAATCGGGCCAGATGCTCTGGTTCTGCCGATAGGACTCTGCAACCGACATAGGATGATGGCAACAATTCAGATAAAGGTCTTGAATGTCTTCCCCCTTTGCCCTGGCCCTCTCGGGTTAGACTTCGAACTCTAATGATGGATACATTCCTCCTTTTCCCAGAACAGTTCCCTGTTTGAAGCTGATTTCATTCTCCTGGATGGAATTCCAGCCAATGTGATCCGAGGAGAGAAGCAGTACCTGGCTGCCCCCCTCGTCATGCTGAAGATGGACACCAGTGGGAAGCTGCTACCCATGGTCATCCAGGTGGGGCGCCCTCGGCATCCGCCTCCCAACACTGCTTTCTGTTCACCTCCGCCTCTGCTCCCAAGGAACCAGCCCCTGGCTCTTGACTCCCAAACTCCATCCTCACACAGTGAGACATGTTCTCGTGTCACTCCGCTTAAAGCCTGGTTTCTCCTGACTCACCCAACTGGCAGGACTTGTTCAAGAGTCATAATGGCCTTTTGGAGTTCTCGTCCTATACCCGATGGTTCTCTAACTTTAGTGTGTATCAGAATCACCTAGACAGCTTGTTAAAACACAGCTTGCTGGGTCCCAGCATGAGACTTTCCAATTCAGTAGGTCTGGGATGGGGACTGAGAATTTGCAGTTCTAACAAGTTCCAAAGCGATGCGGATGCTGCTAGCTTGGGAACATACTCTGAGAATCGCTATTTAATCTCTCAGTCCCCTCTCTTTTCTCCCACTGGTCTTAATAGTTAGTTAACAAATACTGTCAATTATCTCCCACACCCAGCTTCCCCTTCCATCCCCCACCATAACTCAGACCCCCATCACGTTTCTCCCAGACCACTGCCAGGATCTCCTCCCTGGACTCCCTGCTTCAGACTCCCCTGCATTCAACCCGACGACCATGGTGCTCGCACAGTGCCACAGCTAGTGAGAGGCAGGGTGGGAGAGGCCTCATTCCTCCTCCTAGATTATACCTCCTGGACGCGATAATCGTACTTACTCATCTGTTTCCCCAAGACTGCTGGCCGTAATGTCACACATAAAGTAGGAGTTCAATGAAGGCTTAACTTCTCTTTTTCTCCCAGATCCAGTCTCCCAGCCCCAGCTCTCCGACCCCACCACTGTTCCTGCCCTCAGATCCTCCACTTGCCTGGCTCCTGGCAAAGTCCTGGGTCCGAAATTCAGATTTCCAACTGCACCAGCTCCAATACCATCTGCTGAACACCCACCTGCTGGCTGAGGTCATTGCTGTGGCCACCATGAGATGCCTCCCGGGGCTGCACCCGGTCTTCAAGGTACAACCTCTACCCTCCATGTCCCCCTTCACTCAGACCCTAGAGAAAGGAAACAGCCCAGTATCAAACGATATTGCAGCAGCAAAACAAAATTTTTATCACTCTGTGAAAGAAAGAGGTGAGAACAGAAGGAAGACTGCATCAATATTTTGAGACTTGTGGTTTAATTAAGTCAAGTCACTTAAGGTTTCTTCAGGACATATTACTAAGGAAACCCTCTGAAATTCTCAGAGATCTGACAATCTAGCAATGGGCCTAGAGTACAGCTGGAATATTGCTAGTAAAACAAAAGCCTTGATCCTGCCTTAGGAGATTTACGATTTAGCCAGAATGACAAGTGGTGCCCATAAGAACTACCCAGAGAACAACAGCTGGATCTAGAATCTGAAACCACAAGAGACAGCGATAAACACTAGAGTACTGATGGAGTATGTTCCACCCCAACTGAGTTTGCTAAGTAGGAGCAGGTCAAGAGGCAAGGAGAGCGGCACAGCAGAATCAGAATTGGGGAAGGGAGGGCATAGTAGCTGCGGCAAGCCTGGATATCAGACCGGAGACAGAAAGGTCAGAGGTCTAAGCTCCTGCAACACCCAGAAGCCCAAGGGTGGGTATTGCAGACTGACCTAGAAATCCTGTCATTTTATGAAAGAGTGAGCTCAGCATCTATTGCTCAGCAGAAGGCAGTGACATAAGGCTTGTGCTTGAGTAAAAATGTCCTCAAAATCTTGATGACACTTTAGATATAGGGAACAAGACAGAGAAGGGATGAACCTGATACAAGCTTATGAACCAGAGCAATTGTCAGAAACAGGGAAGCCAGGAGAGAAGCCAGTTGGGAAGCAAAAATGAGGTTCAGTTTGAGGTACAGGGAGTCATAAATGTTGGTAGGACATGCAAGTGAGCACCTGGCAAGGAGAACGACTGAACTGTGTTTCAGCCGGGGGCCTCGCCCGACCCCCAAGCCTGGCCAACAGTGGCTGTGGCCTCTCCGAGTCTGGGGTGACACAGACAAGATGGAGACCAGTGTGATGGGCAGCATCTTGGATTTTACTGATCTCACGGTGCTCCTGCACCACCGTCTCCTGCTCACCCTGAAGAGGCTAAGCCTCTAGGCACACTGAAAATCCCCCTTTACGAGTTCAGCCCTCTGCCCAACTATCTCCATGCCCACAGCGACGTCATGGCAAACAGCTGCATCGTTATCAGTACACACAGGAGAGCCAGGCCAGCAATGTCCCAGAGGTGACCTGCACAGGCTGTGGTTTCGGACTGCCGGGGTCTGAAGCCTGAATCCTGACCTCTGTGCTTCCCAGACGTGAGCTCAGTGTCCTCAGGTCTAAATGGGGATGACAGGAGGCCCATCATGGGGTTGCTGAAGGCTGAAACGACCTAATAGTGTGACACAGGCTAAAAGCTAGAAAAAATTAGTTCTTGCAATGATTTGTTAAGAGTTGTTTGTCCCAAGGTATCTCTGCTCCTCATGTGGACTTTGGGCTTTCCATGACACTCAGCACCTTTCACGAACTTTGTGAAAAGTTTCAGTCCAATGTGAGCTGCTTTGACCTCCTGGCACCAGAGTTATCTCTGCCTCACACCCTGTGTCCAGCAACAGCTCAGATAAATACCAATGCTACGTGAAACCTGTACATAAACTGGGTGTAAATGAAGACAAAATAGTCTGAGATAAAAAGAAATGCATGTGAGGATGAGATGGCCGTTTTTAATAGCTAAGGAAAAGCCATTTCTTGAAAAGCTATAAAGTATAGACGGGACCTCACTGCCTAATTGGGGGTGGGGGGAGATTTGACGACAGCCGCTCTGCTGCTTACATACGTGGCTCAGTATGGCTCCTCTATCTCCCTAAGGGAACCCACCCCCCAAAAAACCAACAGTGAAGCGACCAGGGGGTGGAGGCGTGGCTTTGGTAAGGAGTAGAGAGGCTAATTTAAGCTGTGAGGTTGTAAGTGACAGAGTATAAAAGCAAATTAAAAGGGGCTGATTCTCAAAGGCCACCTACACCCCAGGTGGAAATCATAAAGATAAGCGATAACAGCTAGTATCTAAGGGCTTCTGTGTGGACTAAAAACTCTTCATACATCACTCCCATAAGCATCACCACAGCCTCCTGAGACAAAAGACCCTATTATCACCCGCTGTTGACAGGCGAGGGGCTAGACAGGAGATAGACAGGTCAGCACTTAGAAGGTCTGGTACCTTGGATGAGTATCAAAGTGAGCGCTGAAGTGTAGAGTGAAACCCAGGTCAGTCTGGCTCCAGAGCCTGACTCACAGGGGCAAAAAGATCACGAGAGTGAGTGATCACAGAAGCAGGAAGAGAGGAGCCTGTCAAGGGAGGAAAGCATCAAGAGTAGCCTCCATGCTGCCTACAAGGAAGGACCCAAGCATGTCCTCCATAAACCACCCCCTCTAATCTCCCCCATCCCAGCTCCTGATCCCACACATCCGCTACACGATGGAAATCAACACCCGGGCACGGACCCAACTCCTCTCAGACGGAGGTATATTTGATAAGGTAAGGAGGGGATGGGGCATGGGGCTGCCTCACCGTCTGACTCTCTACGATTTCCTGCCACTTTCAAGATCCCAGACCAACCTGGGTGAATGTCCTGACCCTTAAACCCATGAGCCTGTCCCTTTATATCTACGTCTCTAAATGTGAAAATGCCACACCTGAACCCCTTATATACTGTGTGCTGGCTTCCTCCTCAAGGCCTCGCATCTCTCTTGTCCCAGGCAGTGAGCACCGGTGGAGGGGGCCACGTGCACTTGCTCCGCCGGGCCCTGGCTCAGCTGACCTACTGCTCCCTCTGTCCTCCCAACAACCTGGCTGACCGCGGCCTGCTGGGAATCCCGGGTGCTCTCTATGCCTGCGATGCTTTACGGCTCTGGGAGATCACTGCCCGGTGGGTGAGACGGGGAGCCGAGAAATGCGGCAGGGGAGAGGGCGAGTGGGGCTCTGGCCTGAGGTCAGCATGGGGCAAAAGGAACCTGAAAACAAGAAGGTCCAGACAAGAGGAGCAAAGGACTGGATCCTGGGGAGAGATGAGGAAGCGTGAGTCAGTGCGTTACGGCCTGAGAAGGAGAAGGCTGGGGACAGAGAACCTACGTTGGGAAAGCTGTGGACTGGGAGGCGAAGGGATCTGGAAAAATCAGGGGTTTTGTCAGGGAGAATGGCTGTCAACCGTGTATAGGGATTCCTAGAACTAATGACCCACGTGTCCTTCCTCTCTAGACTAGTTTGTAGAAAGAGTTGGGAATGACCCAAAAGGCAGGTCTTGAAGAATCTATACTCAGACATATTGAGAGTCAGCTGGGCAGAGACCATGGAAAAGTGCAGGGGTCAAAGGCCGAAGCTTTCTCATCTCAAGGAGCTCACCTCCCTTCTCCCCTGGACAGCTACGTGGAGGGGATCATCCACCTTTTCTACCACGGGGATGACGTCGTGAGAGGGGACCCTGAGCTGCAGGCCTGGTGTCGGGAGATCACTGAGGTGGGGCTGTGCCAGGCCCAGAACCGAGGTGAGAGCCCTCCCCAGGGACAGGAGCTCCTTGGACACTCTGCCCAAGCAGAGTCTGGGTTCAGGACCCCAACCCCTCATGCCACCCCCTCTCCCTCCACATGTCAAACATCTGAATCCCATTCCCACCTCCTAAGACTCAGGACAATTCTAGATACCCCAGGATCATCCTCCGCAGAGACCCTGGCCATCAACCTTTACTTCCACCCCATCCCCTAACCTGCCACAGCATGTGACGCCACAGGGCCAGAACCTGAGCCAGCAAGGGATCTGCCCAGGCCCTGCTGAGGCTCACGTTCTCTCCTCATGCTTGTCTATTCCTACTTGAGGATATAAATGGGAAGATTCTTCCACCAAAGCCCGTAATGACCCCTTCTGTTCTCCTTCTTCTCCTCCTGCTTGCTACTGTCCAGCACACGCATAGAAAGTCCAGGCCTACTGCACGCTGACCACAGTGCAAGGTCATTTCTAGATGCAAACACAGTGCTCTGCGCGCTTTGGCTCAACCCTGAACTCGGTGCCCTGCCCCTTGGGGCTCACATTTCTTTGGCCAATCCAGCCTCTCCCCACTGCTGCTAGGATCCAGCCACCGTCTTTAGGACCCCAACTGCATTCTAACCTCTGGGGAAGAAACAGCCTTTCTTGAGCTCTTCCTAGATTCCTCCTCCTCTTTCTCTCACACGTGGGCCAGCCTGGACTCTGCTCCAAATTGTCCTTGCGTCCCCGCCCCTCATACTTTGCACCAACATCTCTGCCTCTGTGGGACAACTACAAACATTTGCTGGGGAGCCGCTATGGCCGGCCTCTGAGGGTGCCGTGAGCAGTAACACAACACCCACCCTCTGGAGGGAGCGTCTCCCTAGGGAATCTGTGTCTGCACTACCCCCTTCCAGGACCAAACTTTCTCTAGTACATCTCGGTATGTCCCTTGGGCTCCACGTGCTACCAGGAGACCCCTCCTCTCCCTGGCCATCTTTTCCCCAACCAGTATCCACCTTTGGAAAATGAAAATAAACATCCACATGTGAACTTTAACCTCCACTAAGTGCCTCTCATTCTCTCTTCCTCCACTGTCCTTCAGTTCTCATAGCTCACCTTCGCCTCACTTTCCCAACAGACTCTTTGGAGAAAGTGTGCTAAAAACGGCCTGAGATTAGCAGTCAGGAACCCGAGTTCAAGATCAGCCTCTGCCTTCTCCCAATTATGCAGTCCTGACAAGCAGTTTAATCTCCTTGTCTTTGGTTTTTGTTTTTTTTTTTAATCTACAAAAGGGAAGTGATTACATTTGTTCCACTTAACTGACAGGATTTCTGGGTCTCTGAACCCCCCACCTCCACTGTGAATTGAATGGCCTGACATACTCTTTGCGGAAAGCCTCTCTTGGCTATGACCCTATAAATCTATGACTTCGCTTATCCTTCACATTATAATTCAGACACTTGTAATTCCCTACCTGGGAATAGGAGGAAGCATCCCTAAATTCTCAGCCACTTTTTGAGGCAGAGGATTTTTGACCACTCAGAACTTTTCAGCCCCCAACCCTTCCAAAATAACAATACTTATTATTTATTGAGAACTTGTTCCACACCAGGTGATTATCTCATTTATAAAATAGGTATCATCTACACTTTACAGGTCAAGAGGTTGAGGTTCAGAGAAGTTAAGTAATTGGCCTAAGGTAACCCAACTATATTACTTGAATCTGAATTGAAATCCATGTCTGATGCAAATATATTTGAATAAATGAACTAAACAAACAACAATCAATTCCAAAATGTAGACATCCCAAGTCTTCGGCCTTTATTTCTCTCTTCTCAGACTGTAGCCTCTAAATCCTGTTTCTTTCCTGCCCAGGTTTCCCCATCTCCTTCCAGTCCCAGAATCAACTCTGCCATTTCCTTACCATGTGTGTCTTCACGTGCACTGCTCAGCATGAGGCCATCAACCAGGGCCAGGTATGGAGAGCTGAAAGCCCAGGTCCTTGAAGGCAAGTGTCTGGACCTTGGGATGCCCAAGGGAGAGATGGGGGTTCAAACCGTAAGTACCAGGATCCTAGGGTTGCAGTTTCTTCCCCCAGCTGGACTGGTATGCCTGGGTCCCTAATGCCCCATGCACAATGCGGATGCCCCCACCTACCACCAAGGAAGATGTGACAATGGCCACGGTGATGGGCTCACTACCTGATGTCCGACAGGCCTGTCTTCAAATGGTCGTCACATGGCATCTGGGGCGCCGCCAGCCAGACATGGTAAGAGAGGACCCTGGTGAAAGGGAAATGACAGTTGGAAGGGAAACAGAAGAGTGAAGGGCTAGGCTCTAGGTGTGTCTGACTCAAAACTGACTGATCCTTTGTTCTTTCTTAGGTGCCTCTGGGGCGTCACAAAGAAAAGTATTTCTCAGACCCCAAGGCCAAGTCTATACTAAACCAATTCCAAACAGATCTGGAAAACTTGGAAAGGGAGATTACAGCCCGGAATGAGCAACTTGACCTGCCCTATGAATACCTAAAGCCCAGCCTCATCGAGAACAGCATCACTATCTGAGCTCTGGGACACCCCCACCGGGAAGACTGCAGATCAGCTCTGGGACTGACAGTTCCATATTGAGTTTCATGGTTTCCTAGTCTCTGCTGCAGAGGCTCTATTTCCTCCCCCAATTAAACCCCCTACATCTGCATCCCATGAGCCCAAGGGCCTTTACTTTTCTGTAAAGGGCCTGATAATATGTTAGGCTTTGTAGGCCACACAGTCCGTCACAGTAACTCAACTCTCCTATTGTAGCACGGAAGCAGCCACAGGCACCGTGTGGTGTTCCAATAAAAACTTTTTGTGTTTTGCTGTGTTCCAATAAAACTTTATTTACAGAGAGTGAAATATGAACTTCCTGTGTCACAAAACATCCTCCTTTTGGTCTAGTCAACCATTTTAAAATGCAAAAACACACAACAAAACCCTGTGCTTCGCTACAGGGATGTGCACAGGCTGCAGGCTGGATTTGGCCCTGGATTTGGGGCAGTACCTGCACAACGGTACCCTGCCGTAGCCTGAGGCACTGACCTTACTTGCAAAACATCCAGAGAATGGTGGGGTGGGTGGGGAGGGTGAGGAAGATTTCTTGGAGAAATCGACTACCTCAACTAATTCTCCTTTCCCAGGAGCTTGACTTCATGCCTGGCCAACTTAAAAATTCCTGACTCTTCTTTGGCAACTTTCTCTCCACCCCTGTGTCTCCTATTCACACACCTACCCCAAAAGTCCCTGAATGAGAATGGTGCCCCTAAGGCAAAATAAAAACTTTCACCCCCAAATGGCTTCCTTCCAAACAGTCTCAAACAAAAGAGACAGGAGGGCTTCCCTGGTGGCGCAGTGGTTGAGAGTCCGCCTGCCGATGCAGGGGACACGGGCTCGTGCCCCGGTCCGGGAAGATCCCACATGCCGCGGAGCGGCTGGGCCCGTGAGCCATGATGGCCGCTGAGCCTGCGCGTCCGGAGCCTGTGCTCCGCAACGGGAGAGGCCGCAACAGTGAGAGGACCGCGTGCCGCAAAAAAAAAAAAAAGAAACACGAAATAATGTCTCAAGGCCACTATCCCAGGCTCTTCAGTACTCTGGGGTCTCTAAGTGTTTCCCAGGTTCCAAGTTCTCTTTCACGACCCTTTTAAGAACAATCTACACAAAATAAATGGAAAAATACCACAAAGTTACGCTAACCACTGACAGTATTTGTCTGGTTCTGGGGTCTTGGGATCAAAGTGACCCCTCTCAATTACGCCATGACCACTGTCCTCACTAGAATAGGTACAACATACTCAGTGCAAAACTGTGTTCTTCAAACACCACTATTTCCCTGAATAATTATTACAAATCTGTTTTTCACCAGTGAGGTATACAAACTTTTTCTTTGGAGGGTATGATCCATTCATATTTTTTAAATCTTGTACTCTACCTTGTTCAAAGGACCTATGATCAGTTTCCTTGGTTTACGGTAGGGAAGAAAATTGACATTTGTGTGTACTTATTCCTTTCTCCAGCACATTTGGCAGGGCCACTCACCTTAACAGCTTGTTCATTGAATCTGCTTTCCTTGGACTTTTCCTAACGCCCATATTTTTCCTGGATTTGGCAACCACAACTCTTCAGTATTTCGTGTTTGGTAACAAAACGTTACTTAAGTATATCCAATGCCAAGAACCCTCAGCAATTTTAAAGCGTTCTAGCCAGAACAGCACGCTTGGGCTCGGGAAGGGGCTCTATGTCTTCTTTTACTGTGTCAGAGTGTCTATTTTAAAGGGTAAGGATGAGTAGAGAGGAGATAGAGGCGTTCTCTCTCGGTGTAAATCTCTATGTCTCACTTACCACGTCTCCATCACAGGATACCACCCGAGACTAAGGTATCTGAGAGAAAAATGACATAATTTCAATCCTCGGCTGCTGAGAGCGCATCGCCAAGGTTACCAGGAGCTCCGCCAGAGATAATAGCTTTCCTGAGGCCGGGCTACCATTTCTTCCTCGTCACGTGACTTGCCAGACTTGGTCACATGATATACTGGCTCCTCCCATTCCAAACTGGAGAGGGGGGAAATCCAAGAAACCGGAGAACTTTGCTCCTGCAATACTCGCACCCCAGCTACATATGGGTCAATAAGGGATTCCCGAGGGGCCGCTACGATTTCAGAAACACCGCCCTTTCCCGCCGAAGTCCGAGAGGACCCGGAGGCGCCAGCGTTCTCCGCCTGCTGCCCGCCAGCCCGATGGTTGGGCCCGGAAGCCACGCCCCCTCAGTCGCTCTCCCTGCTCTCGGTCCTCCGCGAGCCCCCAAGTCCAGCTCTCTTACCCCCCCCGCTCATCGGGGCTTCCTCTCACCGCCTTCCTATCTGGCCCACATCTAGGCGATCCCCGACTCCCTTCTTCATGGCGTCGCTTCTGTGCTGTGGGCCCAAGCTGGCCGCCTGCGGCATCGTCCTCAGCGCCTGGGGAGTGATCATGTTGGTGAGGGGACTGCCCTGTGACAACCGGAGAGGAGAGGGCCTGAGGGGCCCGGGTGTTGGAGGGCTGGAAGGCTAGGAGACACCAGGCGTTTTAAAGCAGCAGACAGGCCGGAGGGGGTGGTTGATTAGCCGCTGGAGAACGAGACAGAACTGAATTGAGAAATGGGGAATTGGAAGGGAGAGGGGGAGCTGAAGCTTGGAATGGGCCCCGGGGCTGGTCAATTTGGAGTACCCTCAAGGTAAGAGGAAGAAGAGCTACGTTCTTGAGAGATCCTTGAGCTGAATGGAGGGCAGTGGGGAAAGGGAGAACTTGTTCCCGAAATGGATAGCTGGGCCTTGTTTCCCGAGGACTCTACCCGACCCACTTCAGGAAGAAGTAATATGGAGAAGTGCCGATTCCCTTTGACCCCCTCCTCCCTGTCCCGTGATAATGACGCCTCCGGAGAGGATGATAATCTGGTTCCTGGTTGCTCATTATTCCTAACCCTTGCCCCAGCCAAGTCTTCTCTATGTCACCATTCATGCCCTGTTCCGGATGACTGGAGTCCAAATCCGGCAACAGCCATCCCTAATCCCAGCTCATTCTGGTAATTCCCATACCCAGATGTTGTGGCAACATTCGAAGTGGGAGGAGTTCAGGCAGTGACCAGGTCAGGTGCCTGAGTTCAACAACCTACCCTTTCCCTTTTTGCAGATAATGCTCGGAATCTTTTTCAATGTCCATTCCGCTGTGCTCATTGAAGACGTTCCCTTAACGGAGAAAGATTTTGAGTAAGTGGAGAGGCGTGGGAAGTGGTCAGAATCATGGGCGGGGAATTGCAGGAGGCTGGATGCTTGGGGCCCAGAGGCTAGGGAACTGGCTCCTCTGTTTAGCGCACAGGAGCAGTCTTGGGAGTCAGACCCCAGCGGCCATCCTAAACCCACCGCTTTAGGTGTGGCTTCTTTAGGTATTTTCCTTGATTTCTCTGTGCCTCCTCCACCTATGCAAAGTGTATGCTATAACAGAACTCACCCCATAGGGTTATGAAGATTAAGATAATACACGTAAAAGCGTTTAGAACGGTTACCCGGCACATAGTAAGTGCTCTGTAAATGTTGCCTGCTGTTAATAATGTTTCCGATATTTCTCTGCCTAATCCCCACCCCTAGGAATGGCCCCCAGAACATATACAACCTTTACGAGCAAGTCAGCTACAACTGTTTCATCGCCGCGGGCCTTTACCTCCTCCTCGGAGGCTTCTCTTTCTGCCAAGTTCGGCTCAATAAGCGCAAGGAATACATGGTGCGCTAGAGCACCGTCGCGTTCCCCCTCTCCAGCCCCCTCCTCTATTTAAAGACTCTCCCCACCCAGTCACACCCGCCCCACCCCCAGTCTGGCGCCCTCTGCGGACTGGGTTTCCCTGGCGATAGACCGAATCCCTTGTTCTTCAACCTCTGGCGCCCGGCTCCAGTGGAGGGAGGTCGGGGCTGGCCGTTCCCTGCCCCTCCGGCCCCCTCGCCTTGTCTCGTTACACAATAAAGAGAAACTGCTCTCTTAAGCCTCGTGTGTGTGCATGGGTTGAGGGGCAGGCATCCGGGCTGGAGATCGGACTCCAAATAGGGAGTCCCGACCCCTCGACGGAAGTGGAGTGAAGCCGGGCCGGAAGCGAGGCGGTGTCTTCCACTCTCCTTCCCGCGCGCCGAGGCGGTGAGGCGGTGAGCGGCCGAGCTGGAGCCAATCAGCTGCGGGAAGGGGCGGGACTTCCTGCGCGGGGGCAGGAGCCGTTCGATCGCCCTGCTCTCCGTGGTCCCGGCTCCGAGGTAGCGGCGGCGGCAACGTCTCCGTGAGGAGGCGCGCGGGGCCATGACGTCAGCGTCTACAAAGGTTCGACCTCCCTCGCGGACAGCGCTCCCTGGCGGCCACGGGAGGGCGGGGCCCCCAAGTTGGCTCCCGGCTCTTCCATCCCGGGCGAGGGGCGGGCGGGAGTCCAGCCTGGGGTGGGGCTAGGGGCTCCGGGCGGTCCGGCGCGGCACTGTGCGCCGGCCCCCCGTAATGCTGCCCCGCCCCCCAGGTCGGAGAGATCTTCTCCGCGGCGGGCGCCGCCTTCACGAAGCTCGGGGAGCTGACCATGCAGCTGCATCCCGTGGCCGACTCTTCCCCCGCGGGGTACGTGAGCCCGGGCTGGGAGATGGACGCTGAGAGCGGACGCTGGGTCTCGATCACAGACACCGACACTCTCTAGGGCAGGGACAGATGTTAGTTTCCCTTTGTGCCTGGCACAGCGCAGAGTAGGTGTTAATAAATGATTGTTGAATGAATGAATGACAGATAAACCACAGACCGAGGCTCATAATCCGGACTCATTTCACAGCTCTACCCTGCTGCGAACTGGTAGACCATAGACCGCCACCACTACCCACACCACCCCACCCCCCAAATCATGTGGAATTCTGTCAGACTGCAGCAGACTGTGTTTAGAGGCTCTGTCTGTAAGACCCCCACTTGTTGGATGGGTTTCAGTGGGCTGTTTACATAAGCAGCTGTTTCACGTTGATGGGGGAGAAGTTTTCTTCTAAGGTGGCGGTTGTTACAATATCGTGTGGTTGGAGGTCCGCAGGGTTCCCACGGCGCCTTAAGAATTTTTTTTTTTTGCTTTTGTTTTTGTTTTTTTAAGGAGGACCTCTTTATGCAAGGGGCCCCAGGCATCGCGGGGAGGAGGCTGGTTGCTGTGGAATGCGTAGCCTGTGGGCTGGCTCCACACCCCTCTTCCTCCCACTTTCGCTATTCCCTTCTCCCCTTCTGACAGTGCCAAGTGGACGGAGACGGAGATAGAGATGCTGAGGGCTGCTGTGAAGCGATTTGGGGACGATCTTAATCACATCAGCTGTGTCATCAAGGAACGGACAGTGTGAGGGAGGGTTGGCTGGCAGAGAAGGGGCGGGTGGGCAGCTTTCTTCCTCCATACCCATTGTTCCATCTTCCTCAAACTCCCTTCCAGCTCAACATCTTTCCTACTTTGTTGCTAGTTTTGTTAGCAACAAAGTCCCTGGAGAACTGAAAGAATAAAAGAATTGTCACAATTGGTCAGAAGTCACTAAAATGCTGTGGTAATCAGGACCTTACAAGAATACGATTTTAGGTTTCCAGAGACACCCAATACTTGAATTTGGTAATAGGAAGTCCCTGGTTATTTATACAGATCTTTTGAGACTCTACTGTGGTGTTTCCAGGGATATTATGATTCTGAGCTAGCGGATCAGGATCTATTAATAAGTCTCAATCTCCTGGTAGGTCACCCAGGCTTACCTGGTAGCCTTCCACATTCATACATCTCTCCCAGAAGAGAATTAGAAGACGGGCCTTTCGCACTCTCAGTTGGACTCCACTCTTCAGGCTCCATTTGCCCTAAGTGGCTGCAAGGCTTCAGGAAAACGAGGACCCTAGCAAAGAGTCGGGGCCCTCACCTGGATTCTTATGAAGGGGCTCCCCAGTGTTCTTTCAGAGTGGCCCATTGCCCCTGTCCTCCCCTCCCTGCTTCCCCTAGCCTCTCTGATGACTCCCTTCCTAGCTTGCTCTCTCTTCTCTTCAGGGCTCAGATAAAGGCCACCGTGAAACGCAAGGTATATGAAGACTCCGGCATCCCCCTTCCAGCTGATTCACCCAAGAAAGGGCCCAAGAAGGTGGCATCTGGTGTTTTGTCACCTCCTCCAGCTGCCCCTCCACCAAGCAGCTCCAGTGCCCCTGAGGCCGGCGGTCCCCCCATAAAGAAACAGAAGACTGGTAAGGGCTGTGGAGTTGCTGCCTGGGGATTAAAGGTCCTATCTGAGGTTCAGTGAGAGAGTTGGGCTTGGGTCAAAGGACAGATCTCTTTTCCTCTCCCAGTGAAGGTTCCCAGAGGGTGGCTGGGGTAGGGGAGGGAGGGAGGAAGAGTGGGAGAGCTTGAAACTTGGGGAAGTGGGCGGGTGGGGGAGGACCATCAGGGAACCTAGAACCTAGGTTGTGCCCCTCTCCCAGATGTGACACTCAGTGCTCTGAACGACTCGGACGCCAACAGTGACCTGGTGGATATCGAAGGGCTAGGAGAAACTCCTCCAGCCAAGAAACTCAACTTCGACCAGGGTAGGAGTCCTCCTCCTCCCACAACAGCTGAAGGGGTGGGGGAGGGTCTCAGCAGGATCCCCCTCCCAGGGGCTGTGGAAGAGAAGGTTCCCTCCTGTGCATGCAGGGGATTGGGTCTGCAAAGAGCTGGTGCTCTAGGGAGGTGGGAGTCATACTTGGGGCTCGCCCCATCTCGGCCCATTTTACTTCCTGTTCCAGACAGCCTGACCCTGGATTCTGGCCTTCTCTTGACCTCCGCTGATCCTCCTCTGCTCTCTTGCTGAGCCTTCCACCTCTCACCCCTCTCACTGTTCACCCTGGACCTGTGGACCGGTTGGGACTCTGAGCAAGGCCTGCATGAGAGAGGGTGGAAAGGCTGCCGGGTGGCCCACCTTGCTGTTGCTGTATGAGCATCTTCCTTCAACCCCTATGACCCCCAACTGATGGACATTTTTATACGGAAAACAGTAAAGATCTCCCTCTCAGCTTGGTGCCTTCAGCCTGACATTACTGGAGTGCAAGGGACACCTCCCTCTCTCCTTAGACCCCGGGGGCTCAGCCCCTCCTCAGCGGCTCTCACCACCCTGCCTGGAGCAGCACAGCCAATATTGGCAGGCTTTCTTCCCAGTGCCAATATTTCTGTGCTGCTAGAGCCAGGGGAGCTGGGTGTGGGCAACAAAGGCTCCACTTTGCTCTCTGAAGGCAGCACTTACTCCGGGGTCTCTGGCAGGCAGTACTCCTGAGACTACCCTAGGGATTTCAGAAGGGTAGCTTCCAGTGATTTCACACCTCCATTTCCACCCTCATCCCCCACCCCCGCCACCTCACCAGAAGGCCCCAGATGTTTTTCGTGTCACTTCTCCAGGGTGGCCTCCCCGGCCAAGCCTCAGTGGTGCCTCCCCCACCCTCGCTCTAACACCACAGTGTGGTTTGGACGTGGCCACAGTGCCGTACAAACCACAGTGTGCTGCTGGGGCGGGAGCAGGACTGGGGTGGGTTGAGAAGAAGGGAGCACGAGGCAGTGCTGTGAAGACCCCTACCACCAAGGGTGGGAAGGCTTAAAAGGCAAACATGGCCCCAAGAAGCGTTGGGGAAAACAAGAAACCAGAGCTAGAAGCTGAGCAGGCAACTGGAGGGAGAGGGGCCTAAGGGGTGAGCTCGCAGTGTAATAAGACTGGAACCATCTTCCTTGTAGGAACTCTGCTCAGGGGATCCCTAGGGTGGGGTCAGAGGCAGAGGAAGCAGGGAATGACTGGGGGGGACCAACAGACTGCCTCTCGACTCAGCAAGGGCAGGGACCCAAGGCTTCCTGTGTCCGTTCCTCCCCTCCCTGGGTCAGAACCCAAGAGAAAGCAAGGAGAGACAGAAGGCCAAGGACAGCAGGGTTGGGAGTTGGCAGTCCAGAGGTGGTGGGGCCGGAACATGGTCGGGAGAGGGGGGCCGGAAGTCGCCCTGGGCCCTGGGCCTGCCACAAGATGGAGGCCATAGGCAGGAAATGGAGGCCAGGGGGAAAGGGGAGCAGCAGGGCACAGGAAGAGGGCCATCTGGACCTGGGGGCCAGGTAGTCCACCCCCAGCACTGTCCCCACTCCCCGTGGACCCCCAGGACCCAAGTCCCACCCCCCGCAACAACCCCCCCCAGCCCCTTCACCAGGCCCAGGAAGGCAGGCCCACCCCAGAAAGCCACGTTTAAGCTGAGACAAACATGCCTCTCCCCACCCCCACCCTAGGCCTTCCCTCAGCCTTTCTCTCCTGTCCAGGACTTGATTTTTAAAAAACACCCACCAGAAAGCAAAATCCAAGGGCCAAGATCCCTTCCGCAAATCAAAATAATATCCCCTAAAACCCAAAAGTTATCCTCCTACCTCCCATCCCACCCTTTACCACCCCCACCTTCCGACACACCCCCCAAAACTCTTAGCAATCAAAAAGATCTAAGATGGTGGCGTAAGCAGAGTTCAGGCCCCGGGGGATGCCGGACCCCCTCGGTCGAGACCCCTATCTGTCCAGCATCGAATCCTGCCAAGGCCTTCTGCTCCTCACGCCACCCCCCGTAACCCCCAAACCGAACAGCTGCCCCCAACTCCCATCCTCGGCAGAGCCTTTGTGGGGATGAAACAGAAATCAAACACTATACTAACGGCTGGGGGTGTTGGGGGGCCCTCTGGCCTGTCTTTGGTTTCCATCTGGGGGACTCCAGTTTCGGGGTGTAAGAGAAAGCCTCTCCAATCATCCCCCCAGTTTCAAGGCTGACAAAGCCCGACCCCACCCCAGCACGCACCTCCAAACCTCCCCCCCAACCGCCACGTCTCTCCTGAAAACAGGGGACACTTTCCTCCCCACTTACCTCAGCTACTCTCCCCTGAGATCCTGGTCCCCTATTTTGAAGGGAACAAAATTTGGGGTGCATCCCTCACATTTGGGGTGCAGGAGAAAGGAGCCGCCCCAGTCGCATCGCTGGCCTCCTTCCTCTCGGCTGGCTCAGGGAGTGGGGAGTGCCCTAGGGAGGGGGGACCCCCACAAGAGAGCACATGAGGGGGCTCCTCCACTCCCAGTCAGAATTGGGGACACCCCCCCCAAACCCGTCCCAGCCCATCCGTCTCCAACTCGGCGGGAGAGGCAGCTGCAATGCCCCAGTCAGATTCCCCCAACACTACATTCCTCACCCCATCTAGAGGGGTCCCGGGGGCCCCAAAAAATCCCAAAAAAATCTAGGATGTTGGCTGGACGGTTCTGGACTAGCTCCCCAAATTTGGGGTCCTCAGATCCCCCCGTTTTTTCAGGAAAATTCCGTCTTTCACCTGCCTCCCGCCAGCCCTGCTCTGTCCCGATGCCAATTTTGGAAGTCACTCCCTCCTTCCTCCTCCCCGTCTCTCCAGGCCCCCCCCCCACCCCCCCGCTCGGGGGCTAGGGTCCAGGACACCTGGCTTCCAGGCCGGGGGAGGGGGGCACTCCTCGAAGGGCTAGGGGCCAGGAGGTCAAGCTCATAGCCCCAGTCTTAGGGAAGCAGGAAAGCCCGATCCTCCCTTCCCCTCCCCCCTGGCTGGTCTCCGTGGTGGTTTAGGAAAGCCTGGAGGATTGGAATCTGCCATTGCTGTTGCACAGGCAGTTTTTTTCCTTGGGTTGGGGGGGTGGGCGGTGGGAGGGAGAGAGGGGAGGAGAGCCAAAGAGAGCAGGGACCGGGGTGTGCAGAGCTGGCCTGGATTACCCCCCAGCCCCTGCTGCCGTGGGGAACCCCCCCCCATCTCACCCACACTCCCAGTCCTCTGTCTGCTTTCTGTTTGGGGCTCTTATCCTAGAAAATCAGGGTACAAGATTCCCCTCCTTGTACCTCACTACCACCTCTCCTTGCACAGTTCCAACAGACTGCCCTAGTCAGGGGTGTCCACTTTACCACAACACACTCCATTTCCCCCCCATCTGTCCCCAAACCAAGGTATGTGCCCTTAAGAAATTGGGGTTCAGAGTTTGAAACCACCTTTTCTCCCTCAGATCTATCCAGGCCACATAGAAATAAGGGGAGATACACTCCCTTTCCAAATTTCGTCCTTCAAATCCTGGGAATATTTGGAGGTTCACTAAAGAAAGAGACTTCTAGAATCTGGGGTGAGCGGGAGCTATAAGCAAAGGAATCCCAAAGCAGCATCATGCTCCAAATTAAGTGAACCCTAAAATCAATCTCACCTCACGATCCATCACTCAGTTACACCAAATGCACCCAAAGAGTGGCAAAACACCCCAAAATAAGGACACCCCAAAACTTTAGTCTCCTACCCTGGGCCCTCATCTTGTTTCTCCCCCTGGAAAAAGCCTCCTGGCTCTCAGTGCATACACAGAAATATCCCCCTCCTCAAAGTAAGTTTGCACAACATTCAAATATAAAGCTTTGCTCCCTGGCAAGGACCCACAACCACAGAAGGCCTTCAGACTTGCTCCCAGGTTCCTATTACGTTCCACCTCAAGCTAATAAAAACCCCAAATTGAATTTCATGTCCCCCAAATATAATCTGAACCTCAAAACTTATCTGGCACCCCAAAACAGACTGCACCCCAAAACCAGCACAATTACTCCACTTGAAATCAGATTGTCCACATACACTGATGACTATGAATCCCCAAAACAAAACCCTCATCCACCTCTGAAAAACACCTAGCGGGTTCCCCTGATATTCCAAGATGACAAACTCCAAATTGTGGGTGTCAGAACCCCTAGAACTAACGTAGCTTCAAAATCAGCTCCATACCTCAGACTTACTACTGGCCCTCAACCCTGAATGCAGGCTTCAGGGCCCAGAACAAACTAACTCAACACCCCATAGTAAACATGCACCCCACAATTGACAAATTGACCAGACAAGACAAAAGTAACTCCATCCTGATACCAAAGGGAGCCCCCAGTCTAACTCCCACCTCCAACTGGGCAGAGACCAAAGCAACCCTCATTTGCAAAAGCCACCTCACCACCGTGAATCCCCAGTGGTTCCCCATTCCCAGTTTCTCAGCAGTTCTTTCCTGCACCCAAATAAAGACACCCTCACATCTGAAGGGGAGGGCCCCAGGCCTCGATATGCAGCTCCACGGATAATGGTCAGTCATTACTGGGCAACGGTAGACTCTCCTGAGCCCAAATGCAAGTCCCGCTTTGCAGCTGAACTCAGCTCTTGCCCCACTTCTCCAAATGAACCTTGCCCCACCAACTCTCCCCAAACAAAATACGAGGGTGTGACTCGTGCTTATCTTCCAGATCAGGGACTTAAGTTGGGGTTATCAGCCCCTCCTGCCCTCTCTCCCTTCTTTTACCCTGAGACCCTCCCTGTTTCCCCTCTGTTCACTGCACCCAACTTTCATATTAATGTTCACTAAAAAGTCACCTCTAAAGACGGATAATAGTATCTAGCTTAAAAGAATAGAAACCCTGGGCTCCCAGGACTCAGATCCCGCTCCTTGTCCCACCCATTTCCCTTGTTCCCAAAGCCCGCGGATTTCTCACCCCAGGCAGAAAACCCATCCTCGGAGGAAAGTCCCCTCTGTCGCCTAACTCTCCCTCCCTCCGCCCAACCCTAGTCCCCTGGACAAAATAAACCAGAGCAAAGAGGGGGAGAACGAAGGTTTCAGCCGCTCAGACCTAATCGATCCTGCGCCCCCGTTTGAGTGGACCCCCAGCCGGGTGGAGAAGACGGGCGAGGCGAGGCTAGTGCTCGTCCGCCCCCTCGTGGAAGGAGCCAAACATTGCCGAGCTTTGCCTACTTGCCGCGCTGGACCCCGGCGTCCCGCCAGCCTCCAAGCGTAGCCGACGGGCGGATGCCCGAGGCCCTAAAGATCTGGGAGTGGGGGAGGGCGAAAGGGCTTTGGGCGGGAGTCTGTCTCGCTGGATCCCTAAAAGGATTCAAAAGAGAGTCGGGAGCGAAAGACCGGACCCTAGGTCTCCTGAGCGTCGTCTCTCGGCCCCCACCAGGGGCTTTCCCCACCTCCTCGAGGGGAAGCAGCTGGCGGAGCCGTCCGGTCGCAGGACAATGGAAGGAAACGAACTAGAAATCATATCCGCCCCCTCCCTACCGCGCCCGGCCAGAGCCCCTCTTTTGCAGGCCCCGCTAGAGGAGCCTGTTGAATGACCACACCCTCCCTCTGTCTGAGACCCCACGGGAGCCCACTATCACCTCCCCAAACCTAGTTCCTATTTGGGCTCCCCCTTATCTCCCTTAATACCGTACACTGGAAGGGGGAGTTTTGCTGTATTCACTCTCCTGTAACAGGTTCCTTCCTAAAGCCAACACACCAATTGTCGCTGTCCCAGGCCCCCCGACGACCCAGGTCACCCATATTTCCAATCTCAATATCCCCAACCTCCTCCCCAATTCCAATGTCCCATCAGTTCCACTTTCAGTGGCCCAAGACCCCTTACGTTACGACCACCTAGTGTTTCTGAGGTCCCGCCCTGGAGCCGGAGACCCCGCCCCGGGTTCGCCATCTGGAGAGCGAGGGAGGAAGGAAGGATACAGACCCAGGCGTTCACCCCACCTCCACCCCCGCCCCCGACATCCCGGCCAGATAAAGGAGCCGAGGCCAAGAGGGGAGAGAGACCCCGCCCCCCTTGAGAAGAAAGCTGAAGCCCCTGCAGGACGGGGGTAAGAACCAGAGACTGAGGGAGCCAGACTCCTGGGTCCCCCTAAGAGGGTTGGGGCTTGTTGATGGTAAGAAGACAGAGGCCCAGAAATTGAGCTAAACTAGGGATCCGGGACTAGAGAATGGACTTTCGTGATTCGGGGAAGGGAACTTCGATTGGGATTTGGAGGGGTGTGGACCACGGGTCATCTGGGGTCTCCAGGCAGGATCGGACTCCTGAGGCCAGGCGCGCGGTGGGGCAGAGGGGAAATGGGGGTGCTGGAAGGGCACTGGGAGTCTAAGTAAGGGCGCTGCGGGCCGGATTCCTCACACTTGCCATCGACGCCGCGGTGTGGGAACCTTCAACTCGCTCCAAGCGCTGTGGAATCTAGAGGAGGAAAGCGAGCGATGCTGTGGTTGAGGGTAGAAAGAACAAGATGAATTAAGTGAGGCTGCGTGAGCCGGGGCCGGGGGCTTGGCTCTAGCTGCACCTCAGCAGGAAGAGGCAAACTGCGGAAGGGCAGGCGTCTTAGGACGGCCTGGATCCCTGAGCCCTCTCCTTGGCACCCGCAGGCCTGCGTCGCCATGGGCTCCACCGCTGCCCCGGAGGGAACGCTGGGCTACGTCCGCGAGTTCACTCGCCACTCCTCCGACGTGCTCGGCAACCTGAATGAGCTGCGCCTGCGCGGGATCCTCACTGACGTCACGCTGCTGGTTGGCGGGCAACCCCTTCGAGCTCACAAGGCAGTTCTTATCGCCTGCAGGTTCGAGGGGTGGCTCAGGGGTGGGGTGGGACCAAATGGAAAAGGGGCGGAGCCCGAAGGTCTTTGGGAGGGAACCCGAAGCCAAACCTTCCAGAAGCAGGAGGCGGGGCGTCCGCGAATTGGGGGCGGGGTGAGAGTGGGGGAGGCGGGGCTTTGTACAGGGGCGCGTGTCTCCCTTGGTTCCCCAGCCCCTAACATGACCTATCTTTCCTCTCTCCAGTGGCTTCTTCTATTCAATTTTCCGAGGCCGTGCAGGAGTGGGGGTAGACGTGCTCTCCCTGCCCGGGGGCCCCGAAGCCGGAGGCTTCGCTCCTCTTCTGGACTTCATGTACACTTCACGCCTACGCCTCTCTCCGGCCACTGCACCAGCCGTCCTTGCGGCCGCCACCTACTTGCAGATGGAACACGTGGTCCAGGCATGCCACCGCTTCATCCAGGCCAGGTGAGGGAGCCCCAACTCGGTGTTCCTCATGGGTGAAGTGGCATCCTAGGTGTCAAGGGCAAAGACCAAGATTAGGAAATAGCACTAATGTCCATCGCACTTTTCTCAGCTATGAACCTCTGGGCATCTCCCTGCGGCCCCTGGAGGCAGAACCCCCCACGCCCCCAACGGCCCCTCCGCCAGGCAGTCCCAGGCGCTCCGAAGGGCACCCAGACCCACCTACTGAGTCTCGCAGCTGCAGTCAAGGGCCCCCCAGTCCAGGCAGCCCAGACCCCAAGGCCTGCAACTGGAAAAAGTACAAGTTCATCGTGCTAAACTCTCAGGCCTCCCAAGCAGGGAGCCTGGCAGGGGAGAGGAGTTCTGGTCAACTTTGCTCCCAGGCCCGGCTCCCCAGTGGAGATGAGGCTTCCAGCAGCAGCAGCAGTGAAGAAGGACCCATTTCCGGTCCACAGAGCAGGTACAGAAACTGGAACCCCCCACAATTTGTAGAGGCAGCCTCAGCTCAGAGGCACAGCCATTGGGCCTGGGTGGTCAGGAACAGGGAGTGAAGGAGTGGGCTTCAGAGACAACAGCTCACCTTAGGGAGTTGGCCAGAGGTCAGGCTTACTCTGTAGGGTGGGACTTGAGCAGTGAAATTGGATATGGCACATTGGTCCATAGTGGCTCACCTCCAGAGGGTAGGCCTATGGCAACAAGTCTTCCAGGGGAGAACCCCACCACCGCTGCCGCCATATAATCTCTTCTAACCCTTTTCTCTGGGCCTTGACATCTGCCTAGGCTCTCTCCAACTGCTGCCACTGTACAGTTCAAATGTGGGGCTCCAGTCAATACCCCCCATCTCCTCACACCCCGGGCTCCAGAGACCACTGGGTCACACTCTGGGCGGGCTCATCCACCACCAGGTAAGAGCCCCTCCTTTTACCCCCTTCTTGGATTTTCTCCCATGGCTGCTCAAGGCCAGTTTAAAGGCCCAGTCCATTTCCTGCTGATTAGAATCACCTAGGGAGCTTTTAAAAATCCTATGGCCCAGGTCACACCCCGTAGATCAGAAAGTCTGCAAGTGGGAGCCTGGCATCAGTACTTTTTAAAGCTTCCAGTGAACAGCACTGTTTGGGAACTTCTGGCCTATTTCCATCCAGGCCTGAGTGGTCAGCCCAGGGCTTGGCAAGGCCTCTCTGGCAAGCTGTCATCCAGAGTGGTGCAAGAGAGGAGAGAGAAACAGAAACTTCCACCCACGAGTAGGGGCCCCCACCTACCACCACCGCTATTGGAGTGATTAGCAGAGTACTCTGGAATCAGACAGACATGGAGTCAGATCTTGGCTTGTCCTCTCAATAACCATGTGACCCCAAGCAAGTCAAATGAGCCCCAGAAGCCTTAACAGTAAATTGGGAAAAAGAAAACCCGCTACCGTGTGGTTTGAGGATTCACTGGTATTGTCATTACCCACCACCCTTCCCAGGAAGTGAATTTTTCAGCTGCCAGAGCTGTGAGGCTGTGGCTGGGTGCTCATCGGGGCTGGACCCCTTGGCTCCTGGGGATGAGGATAAGCCCTACAAGTGTCAGCTCTGCCGGTCTGCCTTCCGCTATAAGGGCAACCTGGCCAGTCACCGCACGGTGCACACAGGTAGGGGAGGAGCAGGGAGAGGGCCCTGGCCTTGGTGCCCACAGCCGTCCCCTGGTAGAGTCCCTGACCTCCCTTCCTCCCTGCCTCCAGGGGAAAAGCCCTACCACTGCTCCGTCTGCGGAGCCCGCTTTAACCGGCCGGCTAACCTGAAAACGCATAGCCGCATCCATTCGGGAGAGAAGCCCTACAAGTGTGAGACGTGCGGCTCGCGCTTTGTACAGGTACGGCGCCAGTTTCAGAGACGGCTCGCAGGCAAATTTCCGAGAGGGCGAGGTGGGCCGAATGGGGAGGGTTCTGTCCCTCCCATTGGCGCTGTCTGAGGTCCCCTCCTCTCCCAGGTAGCGCATCTGCGCGCGCACGTGCTGATCCACACCGGGGAGAAGCCCTATCCTTGCCCCACCTGCGGGACTCGCTTCCGCCACCTACAGACCCTCAAGAGCCACGTTCGCATCCACACGGGAGAGAAGCCTTACCACGTGAGTACCCGACCTGGCTTGACCCAAAGCCTTGGAATTACCTTCCGTTTACCGAGGGGCGGAGCTCTGAAAGGAGCCGGCCCAGCGGTTCTAGACCTCTTCGAGGTGGGCGGTGTCCTTGTGAGTAAGGGGCGGGGCCGAGGGTAGGGGTGGCAGGTATAGAAGTTAGGCTCCTGGACGGGGCGCTACCCTCCTGGGGAGGAGCTGAAGGATGGAGAAAGATTTGCTGAAGAGGGCGGGGCGTAGCTCCTAGGCCTTCCCCTGAGGATTTGGGAGCATGTAGGGACTAAAGAGCTTCTCTAAGATAGAGTGCTGGGCGGCTCTCCTTTGCTCAACACCTAAAAGGTGGTCGTGGTTGGGGAGGGACCTGACTCAGCTGTCCTCCGACAGTGCGACCCCTGCAGTCTGCATTTCCGGCACAAGAGTCAACTTCGGCTGCATCTGCGCCAGAAACACGGAGCTGCTACCAACACCAAAGTGCACTACCACATTCTGGGGGGGCCCTAGCTGAGCGCCTGCCCAGGCCCCACTCCCTTCCTGGAAGACAGGAGAGCTGCGGCTCACGCCTGGGTTCGCTGTCAGGCTTGGGCATAGGGGTGTGCAAGGCCCCTCGATGTCAGCGACTTGCCACCACCTTAATTTCTCACTGGGGAGAGCAGGGGTGGCAGATCCCAGCTTGATCTGCCTTTGTTTTGCTGGTCAAAACCTCTTCCCCACGATCACAATTGTTTCTGAGGAGAGAACAAGCTAGGAGCTGGAGGAGGGGAGAGACTGGAGGCCTGGTTTCCACCTGCAGCCCCCATCTCATTCGGTTTATCTGTAAATATAATTTATTGAGGCCTTTGGGTGGCACCAGGGCCTTCATTCTATTGCATTTCTCATGTCCCTCTTCCACAAGTGTGATCAAAAGTGACCTGAAACACAGAATGTGAGGTCATGGCTCTGCCGGCAGAGATTAGCACTTGGCTGCCTCCTTTGGCGTGAGTGTTTTATATTATTATTGTCATAACTTTTATCTTTAGAGTTGTTCTTTTCCTATTTGCTTGTTGGTTTGTTTCAAATGGAGAAAGGGGTTCTCTGTGTCCTACCCCTCCAAATCTAGGTCTGGAAACGTTATCTGTTCTAGGGCAGCTCTGGGAACATGTGGGTTTATGGAATTGGGTCAGGAACCCTCTCTGGTATTCTGAATGTTGTAGGTTTTCTAGCAGGCCAGCACTGGATTAGACTTTTTCTGTTCTTCAAGGGTTACAGGAACCTATGGTGAGCCTGAAGTGGAGGTAATAAGTACCTCCTAGAGGCAGTGGGTGTGGGGCCTTTGTCAGTCTTGGAGCTGGGGGGATGATTACAGAGGCTTTCTCTTATGTTCCTAACTGTCCCATTCGTCTGATCACCTAGGTCTGGCTCCACTGTGTCTGTTTGATAGAACTCACCCAGGAGCTTGAGTTGGGCCCACAATCCTCCCACTAGGACCCATTCTTAGCACTGAGTTGATCCCTCCATGCAGGAGAGATCTGAAATTCCTCACCAGAGGTGATGCAATCTTTTCTGATTCTGCCCAGTCTCTAAGAATGTTATGACCTAGGGGAGGATCATGAAACCCTTTATCTTGACTAAACAGTAAAGAGTATGACTCATCCTTTACTGCAGAGGTTGTCTGAGTTTGAATGTTCCTTGGGGTTCTACCTGAGATGAACCTCTTCTTCCTTTAGTAGGTTTTCGGACATCTTCTGGCAAGTGTCCAGATTCCAGAAACTTCTTTGCCTCTAGAAGTCACAGCTGCTTGGTAACTTTCTTACCTTAGAAAAGCTGGGTCTGTGACCTGGTCTTCCTGTCACTGCATTCCTGTCCGGAACCAGTGAAAGCACTAGAACCTTCCACAGGGAGAGAAAAGGGGTTGAGTTCCACTATGGATTTTCTGTAGTTTGGGATTATGATCGGAATTACTGTTGGGATTAGAGATTTAGAAGATTTAAAAGACTGACTGATGGACCCTCTAGTTGACCAAGTATCCAGGTAGGATTAAGAGGTTGGTTGAGGGGCAAAGTCTCTGGTGTAGGCCAAGTAGGTAGAAGGTTAGGAATGGGTTGCTTCTTAACTGTGTGGAATGTCTGGAATGTTAGATGATACTCTGAAGCCTTGATTTACAGTCCTGCCCCTGTTGCCCTGGGGGATTAGGGACATGGGGTGGAAGGTAAAAAGCACTTTGAATTTGCAGGGTGGAGGTTCCTCAAGACAGGTCAGTACTAGTGGCTGTCACTTGGGGACTGGTGAGAGAGCTACTCTTCTCCCTCTTTGCCTCTTACTCCCCACTGCAGAATTGAAGGAGGTAGGGAAAGCAGAGGAGAGAGCTGAGAAGGAACCATGATTTTTTTTTTTTTTTTTTTTTTACCAGATTGGATGGGCAGGTGGAGAGTGCCAAGGGGTGGAGATGTTAGATCTTGCAAGATCAGAATCATGGAATAAAGAAGCCTCTCTGTGCTGCCTTTTGTGTCCTGGGTTCTTGCCTGTGGGGATCTGGGGACTGAGGGTTCTGAAGCTGGGGAAAGAAGGTATCCTATCCTTCCTGGATACCATCTTGGATTCTGTGCCCATCCCACGGTCCCATCCCACCAGACATTTTAAGTGGCCCTTGTTCTCCCCTTCCCTGCCCTTGCCTTCCGGATCATTGTGTAGGAACCAGTGACTTCATGAAGTTTCTCCGGAGCCACCTGCATCCTACTGCTCTGAAGTCACTTCCTGCCTGAGGTGTGGAGGCAGCAGGGAGAAACCAGGAAGCCACTAATAATACCAACATGTTGGGGGATGCATCTGTGCAGGGGAACTTAATGCCTGGACACCCTCTACCACCACCACCACCACAGAAAATGGATAGGACTTGGGTGCCATAAGGATAATAGGAGCTGGAGGTGGCAGTGAGAAGGCTGTGTGGTTAGAGCCAGCGTGCCAGCTCTACCCCTCCCCCAGCAGCGGTGTCTTGGAATCCATCCAGTGCCTAGTACACACTTCTCTCCCACCCTTTCCCCTGTCCTGTGTGTGTCATGGGTGCACAGCCTTGTTCTACCCAGAGGTTAAGGGGTCACTAATTCTGATAAGTGGACTTAAATTTTGGACTTAAATTCCTTTTGGACTTAAGTTCCTCATCCATGAAATAAGTCCATTAGCATGGAAGGAATAAGTTCCTTCCAACGTTTACAGTTTGTGGTTGTGCTTCTTAATCTTTTAAAACCCATGACCTGGGTTAGATTTTTTTTTTTTAAGCACAAAACAAAGATACTAAACTAAAACCTTCCTTCCCCTCCCACTGCAGCTTATCCCCTGTTTAAAATAAGACCAGCTTAAAATAAAATAAAATAAGACCAGCTAATATTACTTAACTCCTACTACATGTCAGGCCCTAAACTAAACATTTTAGTGTATAGATTTTCTAATTCAACTCCCCTGACAACCCTAAAAGTAGGTACTATTATTAGCCCCAGTTTACAAGTGGGGAAACCAGCTGAGAGGTTCAATGTCTTGGCCAAGTTAAGAAGTGATGAAACCAGGATTGGAACTATGATTTGATTCTAAAGACTGCGCTCTTAACCGCTCTGTTATACAGCCACACCAATTTCTACATCTTTGGTACAGTCCCCACCAGCTAAAGTTCTAACTCCACTTAAAAAAAAAAAAAAGCTTCTTGGGTATGATTACTTTTATTTCCCACGTATAAAAGTATACGGCTCAATATGCTTTTTAAAATTACACAGCCTCCCTCCCCACCCCAGCCCCACTTGTCTGGGTATGACCCCTTGAGTTCAAGGTCAGTGTCCTAAGGATCTTGAAGCCAAGTCATTATAGTGCTCTATAAGGCTGGAGGAACTGGGTACTGGTTGGGTAGGAGGGGCTGATTGCGCCAGTGGTCATGGCTTGTCTCTAGTCTATCCCATCATGAGATCAAAAGCTGTGATTAGGAAGTGGTTGTTACTAGAGGGCAGAGGAAAATGTTCCAGCCCCACTGAAGACGAGGGCTGGTGGGGCTCTGAGTGAGCTCAGAGTTGCACTTCCTCTCCCCAGTTATTTTTGGTCTCTGTGACCCGTACGTTTCCTGTTAGTGGGAACAGAAGGGACAGGAACGAGTTCCCAATACAGAAATCAACGCCAAGAGTCCAAGAGCCCAGTCCCCTCTCTCTTTCCTTGGCCTTTGAACCCACTCAGGAATCCAGGCATCTAGATTCTAGTGGCCTCAGGCGCTTGGCCAGGTATTTTACCTTATCTCATAATCCCTCCGCACCACCCACCCCACCCTCGCCCCGCTTTTCAGCTCCCGGGCCCCTCATCAAGCAAGTATGTGTTTTCCTCTCCTGAACCAGTTTACCAACTACTAACGCCCACGGACTCCTTACGTGCGCATCTCCGTGCTGAAATCTGGTCGAATTGGCCCGCTAGTTGGACAGGAGACCGAAGCTACCTCCTGGTTGGTTCCTGGGTCACCTAGGGCCCGTCTATTTAGCCTGCTAAAGTCCCCTCCTCACGCCTGCGCCCCACTCACTGCCCCAGAACAGGTTCTAAAGCCCGCCCTGCCCTTATGGCTCCGCCCCCTTCTGAGGAGTCCCGCGTTCTCATTGGTGAGCTACAGACAGGGATGTTGGCCGGGCTGGCCAGGTGCAGACACTTCCAGTGATAAGATAGATAATCCACCCTGAGACCTCAGGGATGGGGCCCAAGCTCAGTGCTGCCCCCTGGCTCCTAGACCGAAAGTCAGTCCTCTCCTCCGTCTGTCCCGCCCAGGCCTCGACTCTCGACTCACGGCCAGCGGAGCCACGCCCCCCGGCGCTGAGCGCAGGGCCAAGCGCCAGCCTGGTCTCCCTACCTATATCGCCCCCGCTAGGGGAAAGGCGCAGGCGCCTCACGCAGCCTCTCTGCAGCTTTCAAGCCCTCGTTGGTACTTTCCTCTCTACCATCCTCTCTTCCCTGCTCGGCTGCGAGTGGTCCGGCTGGGTGGGTGGGCAGAGGTGGAACGTCCTGAGCCCTGCTCCGGAAGGGGCTTAAGGCGGCAGCCCTGTTACCTCCCGGATGGCACTTAGGGCCGAGCCCCCCGACGGGGGCTGGGGGTGGATGGTGGTGCTCTCAGCGTTCTTCCAGTCGGCGCTGGTGTTCGGAGTGCTCCGCTCCTTCGGCGTCTTCTTTGTGGAGTTTGTGGCTGCGTTTGAGGAGCCGGCAGCGCGAGTCTCCTGGATCGCCTCCATAGGAATCGCGGTGCAGCAGTTCGGGAGTGAGTGCTGCGCCTGGGTCCAGAGTCCTGTGACCCTCGACCCTCGGAAGGGAGAGGAGATGCGGGGACGGTAAAGGAGATGGTGGGGGTGGGGTCAGTGCTGGAGAAGGACGCCTGAGATCTTCTCTCAGAACCCTTCCTCTCCTCCAGGCCCAGTGGGCAGTGCGCTGAGCACCAAGTTCGGGCCCAGGCCTGTGGTGATGGCTGGGGGCATCTTGGCTGCGTTGGGGATGCTGCTCGCCGCCTTTGCTACCTCCTTAACCCACCTGTACCTGAGTATTGGGCTGCTCTCAGGTGAGACCCTGGGCAAGGGCGGGTCAAAAGCCTGAGTCTTTTTGGCCTCTGGACTTTTACCTTCTTCCTGCTCCTTCCAAAAGGCTTAGGGAGACGCTGAGAGAAAGTTTTGGCTAGCACCTGTGCCCAGAAGGCAATTTTGTTTTTAATTGCATCGGTTTATTTATGGCTGCGTTGGGTCTTCGTTGCTGCGCGTGGGCTTTCTCTAGTTGCATCGAGTGGGGGCTACTCTTCGTTGCGGTGCGACGGGCTTCTCTTGGCGGTGACTTCTCTTGTTGCGGAGCACAGGCTCTAGGCGTGCGGGCTTCAGTATTTGTGGCATGCGGGATTTATAGTTGTGGCTCTCGGGCTGTAGAGCGCAGGCTCAGTAGTTGGGGTGCACAGGCTCAGTTGCTCCGTGGCCCTTGCTCCTTCCCAGACCAGAGCTCGAACCCGTGTCCCCTGCATTGGCAGGCGGATTCTTAACCACTGCGCCACCAGCGAAGTCCCCCAGAAGGGAATTCTTAAGAGAGGTGACTAAAATGATAAACAGGTTAGGGGAAATCAGGAAATTCAAAGACACAAGCCCAGGGCTAGTGGGACTGGAGTGTAAAAGGAAGAATTACTGTAAAATTGTGTCAGATGTGAAAGCTGTGAAATAGATATCATTATCCTATTTACAGATGAGGAAAGGCTTTAAGCTTATGCAACTTGGCAAGTGAAGTTCACACAGCCAGAAATGGTAGAGCCCAGGTCTAACTCCAGAGTTCTATGGTAGTTAACTTTGCAAACATTCCAGAGTCCCGTAAAGTATATTACCCCCATTTTGCAGATGAGATTGAGGCTAGGAGATTAATAGACAAGGTCATACAGCTAGAAAGTATCAAGCTAGGGTTGTAATTAACACCTGTGCTACATTCTGCTGCTGGGCAGTGTTGGGATGATTGTGTGCCCTGAGCTCCTTATGGGTCCCTCAACCCCCATTTCTTCCTTTTTGACAGGATCTGGCTGGGCCTTGACCTTCACTCCCACCCTGGCCTGCCTGTCCCGTTACTTCTCTCGTCGGCGATCCCTGGCCACCGGGCTAGCACTGACGGGCGTGGGCCTCTCCTCCTTTGCTTTTGCTCCACTCTTCCAATGGCTGCTCAGCCAGTACGCCTGGCGGGGGGCCCTGCTGCTGGTGTCTGCCCTCTCCCTCCACTTGGTGGCCTGTGGTGCTCTTCTCCGCCCACTCTCCCTGGCCGAGGACCCTGTCGTGGGTGGCCCTGGGGCCCAACTTGCCAACCTTCTCCATCATGGCCCCTTCCTCCGTTACACCGTTGCCCTCACCCTGATCAACACTGGCTACTTCATTCCCTACGTGCACCTGGTGGCCCATCTTCGGGACCTAGATTGGGACCCACTGCCTGCTGCCTTCCTACTCTCAGTGGCGGCTATTTCTGACCCTGTGGGGCGTGTGGCTTCTGGGTGGCTAGGGGATGCAGTCCCAGGGCCTGTGGCAAGACTCCTGATGCTCTGGACCACCCTGACTGGGGTGATACTGGCCCTGTACCCTGGGGCTCAGGCTCCCACAGCCCTGGTGGCTCTGACTGTGGCCTATGGCTTCACATCAGGGGCCCTGACCCCAGTGGCCTTCTCCGTGCTGCCTGAACTGGTGGGAACTGGAAAGATATACTGTGGCCTGGGACTGGTGCAGATGGTAGAAAGCATCGGGGGGCTGCTGGGGGCTCCTCTATCAGGTAAGGGGACTGGGATTTCCAGGTGGGTGTGGGCTGCCACGTCATGCCATTCAGGGAGGTAATTGACATTATAGTGTATGTGAATACTGCCCTCTGGTATGGAACATACACAGCCTGCATGGACAATCACAGCAGCCCTGAAATGGGTCCAAGGTGGCAGGGTACCTACAGTTGGGGTCTTCAGAGGACCTGGTCAGACCCGGCCAGACATAACATGCCAGTGTCTGCCTTTTCCCTTGGCCCAGTGGGCTCCAGGCCAGGGGTCTGAGCCATCTGGTCAAAGTTCTCCAGGCTCCTGATGCCAGAACCTTCAGACCCTTAACATTTTCCTCTTAACTATTAACTGAAGGCATGGAAGGGAAGGCCACAGCTACTGGAAAGAAAGGCACAAGTGTGCCTGACTCCATCCGGATCCCCAAATCCCCACTGACTGGTTCAGAGATCCTTTCTGAAAGCAGGAAGGTGGTTGAAATGGCCTTTTGAGGCCCCTAGGGAAGGCTGAGTTCTCGAGCTCCTCCAGTCCTACCTTGAGAGTTCTAATTCTTCCAAGATGATGGGTTAAGGATTATTTTCTTCCCTCCACCCCAAAATGTGTCTGAGTCCCAGGAAACAGATCACCCATGTGTATTTTCTCTCTTGAATCTAGGCTACCTCCGGGATGTGACAGGCACCTACACAGCTTCTTTTGTGGCGGCTGGGGCCTTCCTTCTTGCAGGGAGTGGAGTTCTCATCACTCTGCCCCACTTCTGCCTGTCAGCTCCTACCTCCAAGCCCCAGGACCCTGTAACAGAGGCACTGGATACCAAAGTCCCCCTGCCCAGGGAGGGGCTGGGAGAGGACTGAACTACAGGAAGGGGGAGTCAGACCCAGAAACCCAGGGGTTGTTGGCTCCAGGTCTTCTGCCCCATCTTGGCACCCACAGAACCACAGTGCCTTAAGCATCGTTATCTGCCTCCTCCCCCCCAGAGCAGGCCTGGGGCTCCTGCGATGTGTGTGCCAACCCTTTGTATTTTGTCTTATCTCTTCTTTGCTCGCACAACGTTTTCTGAAGGATCCAGGAGTTCAGCCTGCTCCACTGAGCTGTGAATCGACTGTGGAAACTCAAAGGCCAAGAGACTTATCATGTTTTACATGTGATCTCTAGTGTTGCCTCCCACATTTCTTCCCTGAAGACAGATCTTTGGGAAAGAGGGATGCCCCTTTGAGATAAAACTGAATAAGGAAACCGGACAATAATCAGAACCTCAAAAAGAATTGGGGCCCATATGCCTGGGCTGGCTGATTGGGGTCACGCTGGGGACTGGAGGGGAGGTATCCAGGAGCTCTGGTGACCCAGAGCATTTAACCCTGGACTCTGCTCTCTGGATCACAGTTCCTCCTACTTGCCCACTGACCTCCCTCTTTCCCACTATCCCCTGTAACTTAGGAAAGAAATTAAGAAAATGGTGAGGGACATGTGGGGGGTGCTAGCTGGGGAGGGGGAGATAAAGCTAAGAGAGCTGAAGTCTGGGTCTGGGATTCTTATGTTTTCATCAGGCCAGTAGAAGGAGACTGAAATGCAGGAGAGAGTTATCTGGGAAATGAGGATGGGGCAGCTAGCACCCATGAGCACCCCCCTCCTCCAACAAACTGAAGCTGATAGGCAGACAGTTTCTCAAAGATTTCCTGTTATAATGGCAAGAACTTGGGCAAAGAGAAATGGACTGACTAGACAAACACCCTTCCTGCCTCGCACGGCTTAGGGGGATCCTGTTCCTATCAACCAGCCTTTTTGGATATTTTAAGTAGAATGTTTGCAGCATCCTAGATTGCCTAACAATTGGAGCTTGCAGGAAAAGCAGATAGAAAGTCTTTATTGGGGGCGAGGCTCAAACAAGAAAATGGTCAACAAGTGCTGTCCAGAGTGGAGTGAGGGCCTCCTGGGGGGAGCAGGGTAACCTGAGGGTTGGGGAGCAGCTCCCCCCTCTCAGGGGGTGGGGTGCCTGGACGTGAGGCTGGACGGCAGGAGGGCAGCGCACTGGGCAGCCCCATGTAGATGAAGCTGCCAGAGAGGATGAAAGAGCTGCACACGAGGAAGGAGGCGGTGAAGTCTCCCGTCTCATCCCTTAGGAAGCCTGAGAGGAGGGGGAAAGGAACTCAGAGGCCTCCGTGCCCAGGTGCAGAGGAGGGGTGCGAGCGGATCTGCTGGCTCAGGCCCTTACCTGACAGGGGAGGGCCCAGAAGCCCCCCCAGGCTCATCAGCATCATCACCAGCCCGGTGGCCTGCACCACACCGCCGACGCCCACCAGCCCCGGGAGCACGCCGAAAACCAACGGGGCGTAACTTCCGGCGCTCAGCCCGTAGGCCCCAGCCGCGGCCAGCAGGGGGCCCCCCCAGCTCTCCTCGTTCCCCACCACCGGCACCAGACCCACCGCCAGCAGCCCTAACCCTGTCAGGGCCCCGAACATCGCCAGCAACCGCGGGAGGGGCACCCAACCCTGGTCCGCCAGCCACCCGCAGAGCAGCCGGGCGCCCGCGTCCCCCACGGCAGCCACCGCCACCACCAGCACCGCCCCATACCCCCCCAGGCCCCGATCTAAAGCGTGAGGGGCCAGGTGCACGTAGGGGACGAAGTACCCGCCCCCCACCAAGGCCGTGCCTAGAGCAAAAACTAAGAAGGCCCGGCGTGTGAAGAGACCTAGGCCGAGGGCAGCTAGCGGGCTTCGGGGTGGGCCCAGGGGGTCTCCAGGGAGCGCCAGGGGTCGCAGCAGGGCGCCACAGGGGGTGAGGTGGAGGGTAATGGCGCCAAGGAGGAGCAGGGCGCCCCGCCAGCCGAAATTATCGAGGAGGAGCTGCAAGGCGGGCGCCAGAAGCAGCGAGGAGGCCCCGTTGCCCGTGAGTGCCAGCCCCACGGCCAAGACTCGACGGCGGGAGAAGTAACGGGAGAGGGTCCCGAGGGCAGGGGCGAATACCAGGGCCCAGCCGGAGCCTGCGAATGGATAGGACCGGGTGAGGACAGGAGCTGGGGATGCCTGCCCCCACCATCCCAGCTCGGCTGCTCGCAGGAGGCCCTCGCGCCCTCGGCCTCCAGCTCCCGACACGCTCTATCTCCACCATCACCCCTGAAGAACCCGGGAATCCCTCTCCTCACCAGCAAGGACGCCCAGGCCAAGGTAGAGGTGCAGCAGACTGCGGGCGAAAGCCGAGAAGACGAAGCCGAGCGAGGTGAGGACGCCCCCAACCATCACCACGGGGCGCGCCCCCCAGCGGGTGCTCAGGGCGCTGCCCACTGGGCCTGGAAGGAGGCGGAGTCAACGGAAGACACGCTCCTGGACCCCCAAACTCGCTCCAACACTTCTCATTGGCTGTTTGCCTGGCCTAAACTTCTCCCCCTGCCTAATAGCCCCTCCGCCTTGACCTCAAGACCCACTATATTCTAGAACTTAGGTACACTGGTCGACCTTTCTTACGTTGTCTGGTCATCAACCAGGTGTGTCCCCCACCACTGCACTCATGGCCCCTCCACCCCGGTTCCCGCCTCCCACCTCGGGGCCCCCCCTCACTGGCTGCCTGCTGCACGGCCAGGGCCAGGGCGCTGACCCACGCAGTGTCCTGAGCGCTTCGGTCAAAATGCTCCGCGAGGTCAGGGAGGGCGAGGCCCAGGGAGCGTAACAGTCCGTAGGAGAGCCCATTCACCGCGAAGGCTGCGGCCGCCACCACCCATCCCCAGCCCCCGTCCGGGGGGCCGGCTGGCTTGGGGGTCATCACCGCCTGGAGGAGGGGGACCACCTGTGAGAGAAGTCTCCAGGTCTGTGCCTCCTTTAGGGACCCGGGCATCCCTGAGATCCAGCTTCTGGCTCTTTGCCCAGGGTGGGCACGTCACCCTGAGCACGACAGGACGGAGACGGAGGAGCCTAGGGACAGAACTCCCGGGTTCGCGCGATCCCGGGACGGGATGACAGCCGGATCCCCCAGGCCTGAGACTCCCCCTCCCACACACCAGTCTCCCTTACCCGACCTCTCCGGGCGGTGCGGGGAGAGGAAGGGCTCGGCCCGCTTTTCTCCCTGCTTCCGGGGCGGGCGGGGCCCCAGAGGGAGCAAATATAGAGATGGAGCCCAACTTGGACGGGCTCTCAAGGTAAACAGAGAGCTCCACAGGGGGGCTGAGCCACCTGGGACGGGGGGGGGTACGGAGGGCGGGGGCGAGCTGAGACAGCCAATCCGCCGAGCCGCGGGTGAGGCCAGACGCCGAGTCCTACGGGGATTGAATTATCCACTTACACCCCCAACCCCGGGGAAGGGAGGGGTGAGGAATGAATGCCGCCACGCCCACGCCCACGCCCACGCACCTGCCGCCGGCTGTGCACCCGGGAGACGCGTGGATTGCAATCTCCAGCCTGCCCAACGTCGGTAGGCAACGCACGGAAATAGGGGTAGTCCTCCCAAAGCCTGAGTGGATGAGTACTTTCGTTCTCAGGGAACGTTGCTGGAGAACCTGGTAAAAGCTCTCGGATGTTAAATCACCTCCACGGAGTGTATGTTGCGTGCTTAACAATAATATGCCCTCAAGGACGGAGGAGAAGGAAGAGGACTTCCTTATGATGGGCCAGGGACATGTACACATGTCATCTTTCATCTTCACAATCACCCTGTGAAAAAGGTGTTCTTCCCATTTTACAGATGAGGTAACTGAAACTTAGGGAGGTTAGGTGACTTGCCCAAATCACTCAGCTTAAAAAAAAAAAAAAAAATGGTGGAAATATTTGAATTTGGGTCTGTCCAACTGCGGAACCATACAAGAACAGACCTAGGACTGAAATAGAATCCGCCACCATGGAGGGAAATGGCCTGGAGACAGTTTGATGCCAAACTGACCTGGAAATGGTAGAGCCTTTGCAGAGCCAGAGAGTTTATGATTCTGAGATAGGGGTTACTGGGAATACAAAGGATTCTTGAGGTCAGAATCGCTGAAGACTTAGATTAGAATTTTAAAAACAAAGTTAAGAAATCCGATAATTGAACCCAGGTATTGGTTTCTTGAAAAAATTTTCCTTTTTACATTAGAATTAAGTTTACCATTAATTTACTTCAGCTGTTTGATCAAGAGATGTGTTCTTTGATTTAATTTTCCAACAGTATCAGAGAAATTGGCAGTTTACAGTTTGGCGTATGCAATATCCGAAAGCCACATGGTGGCAGTGTTTCCTAATGGTTGAGAACGTTTCTACAAATAAAGAAAAGGAAAACAGCTTCTTAATCAGTGAAACTGTAAACCTAACAACATGATCTTCGAGGGCTCTCCACTGCCTATAGGAGGTAAAAAAAACAACAAAATTCTCTACTTTGGGCATAAGGCCTTTCACAATCAAAGGTAGACTATCTGTCCATCCCATCTCCCTCCCCTCTCTCCTACACCCTTCCATCAGCCGCCTGTATGGACATTCCTAGCTTTTTCTCACTCCTAAAGTTTTGAATATGTCATGCCCTTTGCTTGAAATGGCCTGGATGGGGTACAGGAGCCCTGACACACACACCCTAGGAAGGTGGTCTCACCAGCTTCCCTAGCTGGGTGTGCTGTTGGGAAAGGCACCTGGGAGACAGAGGCAGCATATCCTCAGCCAAGGGGAAGGCACGGAGCCCACTTCCCGACATGGCCGGTGAGGACTCTGCTCCAAGCTGAATGAGGCCAAGTGAAACAAATCACTCCCTCTCCATGGTGAAGTAGAAATGCAGGGCAGTCAAAGAGAAGACTGGGTCGTCAGGGTCTGGGAGTGACACTGAGCACCTTTACAGGATACTTATGAACCAACAGGGCATCCCAGAGCCTGGGGCTAGGGTGATTGGCTGCGAAAGGGCACATTCATCTTCTACCTCGTGTTCCCTGTATTCTTAGCCAGACTTACTATCACTAAACACATCTTTTGCTCATGGAGCTGTGAATGAAAAATATTGTCTGCCATAGAGTAAACAAAGGATATTGCAGCCATCAAGCCATCACATTACAGCCACCCCAACAGTGAGCCCTGAGGGAACTCACGATGGAAACAGGATGCCCCCTATCAAACCATCAGACACTGCAGCCCTCCACCCCCAACAGTGCACCCTGAGGAGACTCAGGATGAGAAAGCCCAGGATACTGGCCCCAGATGGCTGAGATGCGTATCAAAGGAATGATTTCAGTGAGCCCAGACTCTTGCATCTTCCCATACATGGAAAAGTGCTGAATTCCTTAAGATATCTGGTTTTCTTTAATTGACATTAATCTTTTGATGTTCCGACTACCTGGTCTTTGTTGCAAAAACTCCTGGATATCCTGGCTCCGCCCCTTGCCTCTTCGGAGCAATCTCTGAGTTATCTGCCATACTGTGTCCCGACTTAAGTCCTCAGTTTCGTCTGCTGAATAAAACATAACTCTCAACTTTTAGGTTGTGCATTTTTCTCAGTCAACAAGCAAATATAGCAATGAGGTTGGGAGAATGAATTCCCAAGCTAGACTTCGTGGGTTTGAAGCCCATCTTTGCCACTTATTAGCTGTATTACTGTAAGCAAGTTATTCAACCTCTCTGTGCCTCGATTTCTTCATCTCTAAAATGGGGATAATAATAGTAGCTACCTGATAGGATTGCTATGGGAATAAAATGAGACACTGTGTATACATGTATGAATAAGGGACTTAGAACAGTGCCTGGAACATGATATATGTCAGCCCCTCTTGTACTCCTGCCCCTTCCCCACTGGCTACACCTACTGATGCCTCAAGGTTAAAGAACCACATTGGTCTGGTGAGTTCTCAGTAGAACTACACAGCTTTATAAGACGTGAATGGCTACAAAGAGAGGTTAAATGGATTTTTTCTCTTAGTGGTGAGTGGTTTTCTTAGCATTTTCCAAAGTTTAGGAGAAAATGCTGGTCTCCCTATCTCAACTCTAAAAACAAATGAGAAGAAAAGGAGTCAAAATAAGTTTTGTTCATTCACTTCCTCATACAAAATATTTATAGACACCTACCATGCCAGATGCTCTGCTTAGGGCTAGGGATACAACTATGAATGCTACAGTCTCTCCCCTCCAAGCCCCCACAAAGAGAAAAAGTGAAATAAAGACATCTCAACACAACGAAAGGGACGCAGACACCATAGAGTGGTGCATGGGAGGAATTGACTCATTCTGCTTGGGCCTGCTGGGAAGGCTTCACAGAAGAGGAGCTCTTTGAGCTGGGTCTTGAAGGATGAGTAGGAGTTTGCCAGATGGCTGTGTGGGCAGGGGCATTCCAGGCAAAGGGAACTGCCTGTGGAAAATCACAAAGGCATGAACCAGCTTGGCACATTGTTTATTGTTTGGGGAGCTGTAAATAGCAGCTGTGTGGAGAACAGGGAGTGTGTAGGAGAATAATGTAGGACGAAGCTGCTGGGGCAGAGGGTCCCATCATGAAAGGCCAGGCCAAGGAATTTAGATGTTTTCCCGGGGACTGATTCTTCTCAAAGTTACCCCTGATGCAGCAGTCACTAATATCCACTAATACTGGAAGCTGATCACAGAGGGGAGAGGACTCATACCAGAATCAGAAGGGTCAGGAGAGTCTGGGGTGTAGACCTTTTGTGCAGGGGACGTTTCTTTGAACTATCTTGTTTTACATTGAAAATTTTGCATCCTGCTTCATAATCATTGATGCATATCTTCATAGGAAAGTTATGCTTTAAATGACTAGATAAATTATTTAAGTTTTTCTTCCCAAGTCCTCCTCTGGGCAGAAGCCACCTCTGGGAAGTCATCCCAACCACTGATCTGCGTTAGGTGCCTCCCCCTCTGCCTACTCACCCCATCTGAGCACTTTTCAGCCTGCAGTGACATCATCCTTTTTGCCCTCCACCCCTACATTGCCCCTACACCCTGAGGCCCAGGAGGTGGGACCTTGCATTATTGATCTCTGGATCTTTGACACCCAAAGGTACCAAAGGTGAATACAACTCACTGCATGAGAGAAACACTGAACACGGGACCCACTGAATGTGTAGACTCGGGGCCTTGTGCTCCATCAGATGTGGCGAGATCACAAGTGGTTGCTGATGGGCCAAACTGGCAATGTCCACCCACGTAGAGAAAGCTCCAGAAGCAGATGCTGGTCCAGGTCGGGTCTAGGGAGATCAGACAAGAGGGGCAAGGTCTGTCCATAATTTGCTTTGGGGACCACGAGATCAGGGAGGGTGTCTGTGTCTGTGAACTCTAAAACTGCTCTGGGGCTTTCTCCTGGGAGCCCCTGTGAGAGGTTCTTAGGTCCTCTGGGGCCTGCAACCTCTGGGTATCCCTGAGCTGAGCCCAGCCATTGCCTAAGGACACCCACTGGCGGCTCCCTCTGCAGAATATGGATGGGAAGGAAGGGGTGGACAAGGATGCAGGGCATCACCCATAGGAAACATGGCTCTATTTGAGGTACACAAAAATATGAGGCTTTCCCGTGTTTGGCCCAGCTGATCTTGGGCTTCTAAGTGCCTAATACAGCTGCCTCTCACCCCTCGCCTCCCAGAATCTTCTCCTATCCCAGCTCACCCAAGACCAAGCCATGGGAAGTCAGCATAGACCTCAAAGTGGAAGAAGACCATGACCCAGGAAGGGGCCAAGGACACAAAGGTCAGGGCTTGTGGTTCAGGCCAGGGGAGCACATCTGCTGAGACGCTCTGTAATGGGGGTGGGTCATGAAACAGGAAGATGAAAGCGCCCACTCAGTGGGGCTTAGGATGTGCAGAGAACAAATTTGCTTGGATGACCACACCTGAATGGGGAACTGAACCAGGTCCCCTGAACCTTCTGCTGGGGCTGGGGCTGGGTAAGTGGTTGCTGAGTCTGAGGCCAGGGGAGGCTGGTAGTGGGCTTGAAGTTGGCACAGATGAGACAGAGCTGAGGCTGGAGCTAGGTTGGGGCCAAGACCTAGGATGGGACGGGAGTCCCAACCCCACGTTACTCTTCTCTGAGCCCCTCTACCAAGTTTGTCTCTGGTGCTTCTTCAATCCAGTCCCCAATCCCTTCCCTCTGTCACCCTCCCGCCCCCCACCTCCCCAGCCCCACCACCTGCTGAAGATCTGGAGCGTCTGGCTTTTGCATCTCTCTGGACAGCCCAGCCTCCAGGACAGGAGATCAGGATGGTGGAGGAGCACCTAGCTAAAGTCTTTGCGCCTGGTCTGTTTAAAGATCCAAATATGTCTTATTCCAGCATTTTCTGCTTCTGGGACTTTGCCCAACATGTGTGTCAAAGTCCTTAGTTGTAAGCCACAGGCACCAACTCTGACTTACCTAAGGAGAGAAACGATTGATTACAGGATAGTGGGTAACACTCAGAATTACCAAGAAGACTACAGAACTAGGTTTGGCAGGAACACAGACCGGCCACAAGTCTAAACGAGGGGCAAAGGCCACTGCTGTCGCCATCGGACACTAGATGTCGCTGCCGGTCTTTTGCAGCCACTGGACCTAGAAACTGCTGCTGCTGCTCAGAAACATCCTGTTTGTTTGTTTGTTTGTTTGAGAATTATCTTTTATTTTGGTGGATAAACTGAGGACTTAAGTCCAGGAGACAACCCCTCAGATCGCTCTGAGGGACTGTTCCAAAGAGGTAAGGGAGGAACCAGGATACACAGGAGTTTTTGCAACAAAAACCAGGTGGTCAGTACTTCAAAAATTACTGCTAACTAAAGGGAAAAAAAGACATCTCAAGTTAATGAATTTAGCACTTTTCTGTGTATGGGAAGATGCAAGAGTCTGGGCTCACTGAAATCATTCTTTTGATATGCTCCTTAACTTTCTAGGACTGGTATCCTGTTTTCTTCCATCCTGTATCCCCTGAGGGTGCACAGTCCAGGCAGCTGTAGTGGCTGATGGCTTGATGGCCTTACTTGATGGTCAACAGTTGAAAATATCTTCTCTGCCTCATTCACCTCTAGCTCCAAACTCAAGTCCAGGGTCGTGCTTCTGACCACCTGAGCCTTGGTCATGTGCTCTTATCACAGCTGGAAGGGACACCAGGAGAGTGAGTGCCTGGTGTTTTCAGTGTTGACAGGTACATGGGTTCTGCTTCCCATCCAAAATAATAAGGTGGAACATGTCAATCATACCTCAGTAAAGCGGAATCATCATCATCGTCACAGGAATTTCTCAAAGGAAGGGTTTTAGATGCGAGACAGCCCAAAATGCCCACTAAAAACTGGTCATCAGGATGGGAACGGGATTCAAATTGAGGCAGCAGGGTGTGTGCATCCTGCAAAAACAACTTGGACACGGTGAATTGTGAAAAACATGGTTCTTGATTCCCAAATCCAACATTTTCTAGGTATCTGTTAAAAGGTGGTAATACTTCAAAGCACTGTTGGCGAGACTTCAAAGAAATAAAGCTTGGAAAGGACCAGCACACCCGCAGACAGGCACATGGTAGGCATTATACAAATGCAGGTTCCCATCCATTTCATTTCCTCCCATTTTCTGGCCACAGACAGTCACCCCTTCACCTCTACTCTCGTCTAATCTCTATTCTAGTTCCCTGTGCTCCCATGTCTTGATCTGAGAGGGGGAGTCACACCAGAAGGGGCCAGTGATGACATATGTCTTTTCCCCTCTGTGGTACTATATATATATACCTGTACATCTGTACACATACATATGTGTGTTTCAGGTTTACAGGTATACTATATATATATAAATGTTTCCGGTGTACAACATTATGATTCAACATCTGTATACACTACGAAGTGAGCCCCACCACAAGTCTAATTACCATCCATCACCATACAGTTGACCCCCTGCACCCACCCCCTAACCCCCTTTTCCTCTGATAACTGCTAATCTTGTTCTCTGTATCTATGAATTTGTTTCTGTTTTTTCATTTAGTTTATTCATTTGCTTTGCTTTACTTTTATCTTTACTTATGGCTGCGTGGGGTCTTCCTTGCTGCACGTGGGCATTCTCTACTTGTGGAGAGCAGGGGCTACTCTTCATTATGGTGCACAGGCTTCTCATTGTAGTGGCTTCTGTTGTTGCAGAGCATGGGCTCTAGGCATGCAGTCTTCAGTAGTTGTGGCTTGCGGGCTCTAGAGTGCAGCCTCAGTAGTTGTGGCGCACGGGCTTAGTTGCTCTGCAGCATGTGGGATCTTCCCCGACCAGGGATGGAACCCGTGTCCCCTGCATTGGCAGGCGGATTCTTAAGCACTGCCACCAGGGGAGTCATGCTTTGCTTTTTTAGATTACACATATGATATCATATGGTATTTGTCTTTCTCAGTCTTATTTCACTTCCATGTTGTCCCAAATGGCAAGATATCTTTCTTTTTTTATGGCTGAGTAATATTCTATTGTGCGTATACCACATGTTCTTTATGCATTCATCCATCGATGGACACAGGTTGTTTCCATATCTTGGCTATTGTAAATAACGCTACAGTGAACATAGGGGTGCATATATCTTTTTGAATTAGTGTTTTCGTGTTCTTCAGATAAATACCAGAAGTGGAATAGCTGGATCATATGGTAGTTCTATACTTCATTTTTTGAGGAATCTCCATACTATTTTCTATAGTGGTTGCACCAATTTACAGTCTCACCAATAATGTATGAGGGTTCCCTTTTCTCCATATCCTCGCCAACACTTATTTTTTCTTGTCTTTTTGATAACAGCCATTCTAGCAGTGTGAGGTGATGTCTCACTGTGGTTTTGATTTGCATTTCCCTAATAATTAGTGATGTTGAACATCTTTTCATGTGACTGTTGGCCATCTGCATGTCTATTCAGATCCTCTGCCCATTTTTTAATTGGGTTGTTTGTTTTGTTGTTGTTGAGTGTATGAGTTATTTATATATTTGGGGTATTAACCCTTTATTGGATATATGATTTGCAAATACTTTTTCCCATTCAGTAGGTTGCCTTTTCATTTTGATGATGGTTTCCTTTGCTGGGCAGGAACTTTTTAGTTTGATGTAGTCCCATTTGCTTATTTTTGCTATTGTTTCCCTTGCCTTTGGAGTCAGATCCCCAAAAACACTGCTAAGACTGATGTCAATAGGCTACTGCCTATGTGTTCTTTTAGGAATTTTATGGTTTCATGTTTTACATTCAAGTCTTTAATCCATTTTGAGTTAATTTTTGTGCATGGTGTAAGACAGTAGTCTAGTTTCATTCTTTTGCATGTGGCTATCCAGCTTTCCTAATGCCATTTATTGTCCTGTCCTTTCTCCGTTGTATGATCTTTGTTCCTTCGAGGGTTTGTGAACTAAAGAGGCTGTGACTGGCTCCTGTTACCACGGACCTCTTCTTGTCTGTGCACAGGGTGGGTCTTTTGCCTTTCAGTTCCCTTGCTTTTGAACAGAGTTCTGCTTGTCTGCCTTGAATCTCCTTTGCCCCTGCCTGCACTTCAATGTCATTTCCTCTGCAAAGCCTTCTCCCCTACTTTCAAAGCATTTTAAATCATGCTTAAAGGCTACATGCTAGGTAGCCTTTCTTCCTAAGGGTTCCTTTCCTCTATCTCATTCAGACAAATAGCTTTACCCAGCTTTACCCACCTTTGTCTCAAACTCTGATCATATCTCTTTCTTGATTCACAACCAGGAGTCTCTCACAGTGGGACTGATCCTGGTTTAAAGCAAGTCTGTGAGTCTGATGCCTACTGTGTAGTTTGAAGAGTGTGGTGGCAGGGTCTGGCCTGGAGGGAAGTCACATCTGAGTAGGCCTAAAGAAAGGTGAGGGCAGCTGGTTGACCAGCTGCCTTGCAGGAGCATCTTTTTTTCTTTTTTTTTGCGGTACGCGGGCCTCTCACTGTTGTGGCCTCTCCCATTGCGGAGCACAGGCTCCGGACGCGCAGAGTCAGTGGCCATGGCTCACGGGCCCAGCCGCTCCGCAGCATGTGGGATCTTCCCAGACTGGGGCACGAACCCGTGTCCCCAGCATTGGCAGGCGGACTCTCAACCACTGCGCCACCAGGGAAGCCTGAGGTGTGTCTTTTTTTTAATTTATTTTATTTATTAATTTATTTTTGGCTGCATTGGGTCTTTGTTGCTGAGCGCAGGCTTTCTCTAGTTGCGGCGAGCGGGGGCTACTCTGTTGCGGTGCGTGGGCTTCTCATTGCGGGTGCTTCTCTTGCAGAGCATGGGCTCTAGGCACGTGGGCTTCAGTAGTTGTGGCTCGCGGGCTCTAGAGCACAGGCTCAGTAGTTGTGGCGCACGGGGTTAGTTGCTCCGCGGCATGTGGGATCTTCACAGACCAGGGCTCGAACCCGTGTCTCCTGCATTGGCAGGCAGATTCTTAACCACTGCGCCACCGGAGAGGCCCTGCAGGAGAGCTTTTGATCCCTGAGGGTTTGCTTAAGTCTTTAGGAAAGTTCCATGCCAGTTCACCTGGGCTGGTGACCCAAAGGAGAGTGTTGTGTGCAGCCTTAGGCCACAACAATGAGAGGAACCATGTACACCTGGGCTTTCAGGATGGAGGCAGAGCTAAAAGAGCCCCAAGGAGAAGGGAAAACTTGGACCAGAGAATTGCTGCCTAGTTTTAGTGCTTCTCCTACCTGGGCTAATCCATGGAGTTTTGAACTTGGTTTTATTAAGGAAGCTGTCTTCCTAGTCCCTCCCGAAGCTAATTATCCATTTGGGCACTGACTTGCTGGACCCTTGAGCAGCCTGTGCCTCCGCTGACCATCCCTACCCTACACAATACATACACCTCCTTGACACTCTGTTACCCCTCCAGTCTCTGATGGTCTCTCTCACTTTCACCTTCGGCTTTGTCTCCAGTTAGGGGTCCAACTCCCATAATGCCATTTGGTATTGGGGAAGCTGATGAGAAGTGGCAGTGCCAAGAAAGCTCAGTGGATAGCAGTTCCTGGTAGTACTGTAACGGAGAAGAGCTAAATCGGATTCCATGTTGGATCTGTTTCTTTGACTTTAACCTTTGCTTCTCGTTGCTTTTGTTATTATAATCATACGTAACCGCCTGCCTCAGGGAACCCTGCCCACCTGTGAATATGGCTGCAAGAAAAAAAGAAACTAACACATACCCTCACCGAGGCTGGCCATTCTAGGAGATGTTTTGCAAGACTGATGGCCCTTTTACTTTACTTCTTCACCGCCTCTCCCTCTCTGATTCTATAAAAGAAACTGGCATGCAGACCCCGGTAAGACGGTTTTTCAGAGACACTAGTCTGCCGTCTTCTCGGTCTGCAGGCTTTCCGAATAAAGTCGTCTTCCTTGCCTCAACACTTCATCTCTGATTCATTGGCCTGTCATGCGGCGAGCAGAGTGAGCTTGGGCTTGGTAACAGTACCA